ATCAAACAGGAGGGGGTAGAGTGACCCAAAGGATTCCACCTATATATCATATGATTTGCTTACATTCAGGTATCATATAATCTAGTTGCACTATTTGCGAAAACAAAGTAAGAAACTTCCAGCTATGTTAACTGACCCTTCAAAATTGAGAAAAAAAATTGCAGCAATATGTTTACACTTTAAAAGCATCTTACATGCATTATCAACATTTATCACTGATAAAGAAGATTAATACTGTCACCAGGAACATATATATTGTTAGATATACTGTTCCCAGCTGTCACATTGTATTGGATTTTGACATTAAAATTTGTCAAAAAGTAATTTTGAGTTTCTGTATCAAATATGTTTTGCTTTTTCTTTCTTTTACATATATCTTTTGGTTTCCATTTCTATTGTTTATATTTATTTACCATGCATAGATGTATTTTGTCACCTGCCTGAAATTATTGTTTGTAGTTGATCTCCAAAACCCGGAATTACCCTTATCCGCTTCCGGAATCGGACCCGATATTGTAATTGTCTACACGGCATCCATTGTTTTTCAATGTTGTTTTTGTCAGTCAGATACGATTTTACTCGAATTTACACATTACTTGTAGGCGATTATCTGTATAAAGCTAGCGGTTGAACAAAATGAACATCGCTGTCATGAATAATAAAGATGAAAATACGTTTTGAGATCGTTTATTTAGAGACTTTGGTAAAAAGGTTTGCAAAGTTATTTTTAATTTTCTTTCAAGTGAAAGGTCCGTCGGGCGTAGCTAGTAACCAAGTCGAGAGTCCGATTGCAAAAGTGGAAGGTCGCGGATCTCGGACCACCGCTAATTTGAACCCCTGCCTCCAAATTGAAAAGATACGAAAATTTCGTCTTCTAATTTGAAATTGCCGCCAACAGCATGAACAGAGGAACTTATTAATAGACTACTGACGTAGTTGTAACACGTATTGACGACAAACAATATTCCTACGACTTTTGCCATTTGGGAAATCTAAACTACTTGTCTTTAAAGATTTTCGGCGATTAAATATTTCATACAATTGTTCTTTGACATCTTAGCCAAAAGCACAGGGGATAATAAACTACATAAGGATTCCTAATGTGCTCTACTTCCTATGTGCAACTTCAAAACTTTTGGGTGGTTCGACGATCATTTAAGGTTTTTTCTGGTCATATTTTTGTAATCCAGAATTAAAAGTATGAAAAAACTATTCAATTAGTTATAAATAACATCATATCCAGCTAGATAATAACAATGGCACGTATTTCAGCATTTATTGGGTAGAACACAAATCTAGGGTGCTCGCATAAGGCAGCTTAACTGCCTAAAAATGCTTATTGTTGGCCCCTTTTTGGCCCCTAATTCCTTAACTGTTGGTACCATAACCCCCAAAATCATTCCCCACCTTCCTTTTGTGGTATTGAACCTTATGGTAAAATTTCATAGAGATCCATTCACTTAAACTAAAGTTAGAGTGCGAAAACCAATGTGTCTTCGGACGACGACGACGACGACGCCGCCAATGTCATACCAATATATGATCGTATAAAAATTAAATGAATTCCCCGTCAAAAGCGAAGTTAAGAGTTGCCAATAAAATAAACCAATTGCCTGATACATCTGAATGTTCACAATCGTGAATATGACAGCTGTTTTAAGAAACTTGCAAGTCGTGTGATAAAAATAAACACTTCGCTGCCATTTTTCCCCAACCAATAACCAAGGGAAATAATCCAATCATTAAAAATAAGGGTAAACTCGGCCCATGGACAACTCGGACCACGGCAAGACGGACAACATGACTTAAAATCATGTCGCAAAAAATAAAAGGAAAAAATAAAATAAAATGGAAACACCGACCTACCAAACCTATTTTTTTTCATGATGTAACCTTAAACAGACATTTTTTTTTGGTCTACGGCAGATGTAAGTACCTTGATATTGCACATTTTGAATGATGCCTTGTCAGTGTAACAGTTTACATCAGAACATAAAATTCATATCAAAAGTCTGAAGTTTACAATCGTTTATATGTCAATCATTGTTATCATGCCCAAATTATTATCATGATTGCCTTATGATATCTCTTTTGGGATTAAATTTCTGAAGGAGAAAAAAATGTTCGGCTTGGCTCAAATATTTTTTGGAAGCCCTGGTTTCAATGTCTGATTAAAATTTATCTTTTTACCTGCTTCTCCAAAGGTGGAAGTAGGTCAAGTGACACCTCAGCTCCTTCTGTCCGTCTGTACGAAAGAAAACTTTCATCAAAGACTTCTTAGCTTTTATAAAAGGGAAAGATTTAATATTTGGATATTATAATGTTGAGCTGTAGTAAGTAAGCAATTTTTACATTTGCCATGTATCGACTTCCTGTTTGCCAGTAGTTTGACATTTTTCATTTACAACACTCAGTGCAGGAGGAAAATTTTCATCAAACTTTTCTGGGCTCCTATTTAAGGAAATGATTTTAATATTTGGTCTGCAGCTAGATGAAGTTGAGTTGTAGTGAGTAAGCATTCTTTACATCTGCCATGAAGTCCTTCCTGTTTGAAGATAGTTTGAAATTTTACAAGGCTCATTGTACAAGGAAAATTTTTAGAAAATGTAAAAATCAGCAACGCAAGAAAAAATAGAACCAGTTGTTTCTGCTCTACAAATAAATGTGTTTTCCTTTGATCTGTATGAATCCCAATTGTTTAAAAAGCAGTTCAATATTGATAGTGTTTATCATATTTTTTGATAATAAGAGTGTTCATATACTATGCCTTTTGAAATGCAGTATTTACTGCTTGCAGTGTGTGTAGCTGTTTCATTGACCTGGATATTTTCCTTATATGCCTGGTAAAGGTCCGTAATTAATCAGTTCCTAACCCGACCTTGCATTTTGGCAATTAGTCTCAAACGGAACAATAATTTTTTGTTATTGTTACTTTTTCAACGTAATCATATCCAGTGCCTATTTGGTATAGACAATTTTTATATTCTTGCACTTTCCATTAAATTTCCTATGTCACAATGCTCATGTTATTACGTCAAAGTAAGAAGGGATTGTTCAATGAAATTGTTTAGGTCAATTGAACTCAAGTCAATCGGTGTAGCTCATTCAAAACAACTAGAGATTGGTGTATTGAATATTGTTTATATTGCATTATTACAACTTAAGTTAAGCATATGCCAGTTGGGACCTATGCCCTAAAAGGTATAACCAGCTCAGTAGCCAAGTACTTCATTACATGCATAAAATACAAGTATAAAACAATATACATGTATGCCCAAATTATTTACATACTAATTTTGTTAAAAATGAAACATCTTTCAATACAAGATCTAGTAGTAAAAACTTTTATATACCAGGAATTAAAGGGTGTGAATCAACCACTTTCTTTTATAATGGAATAAAAGACTGGAATTCGTTACCAGACATGATTAAAAGTTGCTCTAAAAAATATAATTTTAAAGTGCAGGTGAAAAAATTTTTGATGGATAAATTTAAATCCATCTTTAATAGTGAATTTGTTTTTTATTAATTATACTGGGGCTTTGACCATTTATCTGTGATAAATTCTAAATGATTTGTGCTTGTATTTTCTATGTATCAACCCTTGGTGTAAACTGGAAGTCTCGTTATAAAAGGACCCCACTGGAAATAAGTTTTACTAACTTTTATGGGTCATCCTAAGATATTAGGCTACAGTGTAAAATCTAGTCAAGTTAAATTTCACTCATTTTTAATCTAGTCTAATCATATTATCAAAATATCATGAAAATTTTCAAAATTTTATTTTTTATTTCTTAATTTAACAGGTCAGGAATAACCACCAATTGGTGGATTATACCTCAATTGACGTATAATCCACCAATTGACATATATTGGTATAGACCAATTGATGTATAATATAAGTTTTTTTGTTATAAAATGCTAGTGTGAGATAGGAGCATCATTTTGCAACTTACAACCTATTTTATGACCATTATTGAGTCCTCCGAAAGTTTCAGTTTTGTCAAAGCCTGCTGCATCTCTTGAGAATGCATGTGTACAACAATTCTTTTGTTGAAACATCTGTACTATTGACCATGATTGACTTTTAATAATGAAAGTCAAGTATTAACAAAGAGCTCCATTCACCTGTGGAGTTGTACTCATAATCACATGACTGCAGACAGTATTGATGGCCATTGACAGGTGATTAGTGATAAATTTGCCAATCAAGAATTGACAAGATAACAATAGAAGAAACTGCAAATACAATTATTGATTAAATGCAATATGTTATGTCACTTTACTAAACTGGGAATGTTTGAAATGTTTTCATACAATAATATGGTTTTAAGAAAACAATGCTCAATTTTGGTTGAATAATTTGCTTTGAAAAACAAAGAATTATACGTCAATTGGTCTATACCATTATATGTCAATTGGTGGATTATACGTCAATTGAGGTATAATCCACCAATTGGTGGTTATTCCTGACCTGTTTAAAATTTTTAGTAAATATGTATATCATTTTAGTGTCTATAAACTATGTCTAGTGCTGTATCTGTGTCTCTGTAATATTTTGTATCTGTCAAATTCATGCCTTTTTTATCTTGAATAAATATATATATATATATTGTTTTATTGAAATTTGCTGACATAAAATTTAGGAAATCATTTGAAATTAAAAATATATCTCCTTCATACATAAAGATTTGATCCCTTGTCTAAGTTTGGTTTTACTCTCGTCATCATCTGTTATGTAAGCTCTTCAACGTTTATATTTTGTTTAGGTTTTCATAAATGTTGGCATTGATCATCACTGAACAGACATTAATCATCGAAATACATATATAGCATAAAATGGTACGGTTTAAAAATATTATCTCCCCTTTGTTTACAGTTATTTGTGTTTAACTGAGGATTAATGAACGACTACATCTTTTCCTATAGAATTAAATCAAAGTATTCTTCTGTATAAGAAAGAACATAAATGAAAAAATCGGCCCTTAAAGATTGCATGCCTGTTTCTACGCTGACCAACATTTTCTTGTGGTGCAGGTCTGTACATAACTCTTTTTGACGCCATTTTTGTTTCCCGCGTTTTTTCAAACTATTGCTAAAGGAATATGAACAATCCCTGATATGAATTTTAAATACCTAAAATTCTTTTGTAAATTATCTCCATGAATAATTATAATAATAAATAGTGTTTTTTTTTAAAGCTTTTACCATTATCATCCCAAAATTTCATGAATTTGCAGGATTTTCTGATAGATATGCTACATAAGTATGCTTTAATTAAAGTTTTCAGCTTCCTCAGGCAATATTGAACTTAGATGGGTTTGGCTATTATTTTTCAGTAATTTTTTGTCTTATAGCTCTTCGGTTGTTTATGTTCTTATACATACTTGGCTTTCAAATATTCGACTTTGGGTGTTCCTGATGAAGATAAATCCAGAAATGCACTTCAGACGCATAAAATTTATAAAATGTCGTTTTCATTTTTTTTTGGAGAAAATCAGCGCTATTTATGATAGAAGGTGACTTCTGAATGGCCAACTCTCACTTTAAGATTTTAAACATTGGTGGAAAATTTGTATTTTTTGCATACTCTAATTTTAGCTTTGGTATATGTATTTCAGGGCTGCCAAGTCTCACGCATTTAGCGTGAGACTCACGCATTTTCATGCTTATTTGGCGGCATTTTCCTTTGATCTATTGTTTTTTCTCTTTGATCTTTACGATTTTGGCCAAATCTCACACATTTGCATTATTAAAAGTTGGCAGAACTGGTATTCCATGTTTGTCCTATGTCTGTCCTATCTTAAATCTTACCTTATCTTAATCCTAACCCTAAACCCTATATATTAAACACAAACCCTTACCCTTACCATAATTTCAACCTTAAAGAAACCATGTTGCTAGTTTTGTGTATTTCATTTTATACTATTTTGTGAATATTGCACTCATGTTCTTCTCAATGTAACCCTAACAGTTACCATCTCACTACCAAAAGTTCCCCTCACAATCTGATATAATGTCCTTCTCAATGTAACCCTAACAGTTACTATCTCACTACCAAAAGTTCCCCTCACAATCTGATATAATGTCCTTCTCAATGTAACCCTAACAGTTACTATCTCACTACCAAAAGTTCCCCTCACAATCTGATATAATGTCCTTCTCAATGTAACCGTAACAGTTACCATCTCACTACCAAAAGTTCCCCTCACAATCTGATATAATGTCCTTCTCAATGTAACCATAACAGTTACCATCTCACTACCAAAAGTTCCCCTCACAATCTGATATAATGTCCTTCTCAATGTAACCCTAACAGTTACCATCTCACTACCAAAAGTTCCCCTCACAATCTGATATAATGTCCTTCTCAATGTAACCGTAACAGTTACCATCTCACTACCAAAAGTTCCCCTCACAATCTGATATAATGTACTTTTATTTTTGAGTATTTGTCCACTTTTTTCATTTAATGAAGTTCATCTCAACTTTAGCTAAACCTTACCATTCACAATATTAACCCTTAAACTATAAAAATCATACCCTTATCTATATTTGATGGGGTTTGTGTTTCTCAATCTTTAGTTTTCTGTGTAGTGTTCTGCAGACGGTTGCTTTTCTGTTTATGTTTTGGCCATGGTGTTGTCTGTTGTCTGTTGTCTGTTGTCTGTTTGTCTGTTGTCTGTTTGTCTGTTGTCTGTTGTCTGTTGTCTGTTGTCTGTTTGTCTGTTGTCTGTTGTCTGTTTGTCTGTTGTCTGTTTGACTTATGGTTTTTTAAATTGCCCTATTGGTATCTTCCCCCCCTTCTTAAACACTAAAACCATTATTGCTTTTTCATGCTCTGTGAAAGTAAATAAGAAGAATAACATATATTGCAAAAAATATTGAACAGTACAACAGATCACACCAATCACCAACACCTAAGAAACAAACACAAAACAACATACATGTGTATATTCAAGTTTGGAATCTTCTCATCTTTATATCCCTACCTATAACACTAGCCTTTATACATAACATCTTTTTTTTCACTTTTTTTTGTGTACAGTATTATGAGAAAGTATTTTATAAACTTCAATCTAAACTAACTGTAATTCATGTTCATCTGATTGTGTTGTATGTCATTAATTGGAAATATTTAGGGATCTATTTGTGTGATGTTTTACCCTAATTACCAACCATTTATGATAATCATTGCCCTAAATCAAACCCTAACCTAGACATTCATATTGTTAACAAACTCTAATCTGGTTTGGTGTGATTTCTTTTTTAGTAAATTTTTTGTGTATTTGTAGTCATTTTTTGGGGGGTGTATTTTATGGTCTTCATGTTTATTTTCATCATTCTGGCCTCAGTATACACTGCTACTTAAGCTTAGTTATTAAGACCATTTTAAGTGTTCCCCCTATTTGTTATTTTTAAGCAATGGCAGCCATATCAGTTGGTTACTTGGGCATTGAGGACAATGTCTTTAATCTTGAAATGAAGAATTCCAAACAACAATGTACTTATAATAATGTAACTTATAGAAAATATCACTGACCTATCACAAGTAGTTCCTGTCAAACTGACTTCAGCAGAAAAGTTACACCTATGTCTCGTTTTTCTGTGACAAAAACTGGGGGAATTGCATGAATTCCAAACAGAGCGAGGCTGCTGCGTTAACATGGTAAGCATCTCCTGCTATGAATGTATCACCCAAAATGTAAATCCATACTTATGATTGCCTATAATTGCTAACATCCACTTCATTTGAACATTGGTGGATAGTTGTCTCATTTGCAATCATACCACATCTCCTTATTTTTATATTAGTCAAAACTTCACAATCAGTAAAATTACAGATCAGAAGACTATTCTGGTATCTAAAGATCAATAAAAACAGCTAAAACATGTTGCTTGTGAGTTGAGACACAGATGTATTGCATCAGTCAACCAATTCAAGATGGTGACCATACTTGTGTTGAGTTCAGTCGTTCTTCCTCATAATTCTTGTAGACGAAGTTTTTTTGTAAGGACTACACCCCTGCCAATGAATTCTGTGTATTGTGATCATGCACAATCTTAATATATTTATTGAGATATGTAAACGCTATACGATGGTGCAGAGGGTATGTGACTGTTGAGAAATCAGAAGTTGACAGTTGGAAAGTTGAAATCATCACAGTTATCATCAATTCTAGTTTGCAGTCATCCACCTGAATCAATATCAAGGAAATATCGCGATATGAAGCAGACCATCTAGTGTTGGTAGTATCTTTAATCACTTGGATATGTGAGATGCAAGAACTCTAAAATGCATGTTCTTATAATGTTATATGTTAAGTCTTAGTTCTGTCATACTGATGATCATATCATTGTCTTTTATCACTTTGTTTTAGTTTTAAGAGCTGGTTGATAGATAGATCATCAGATATAGCATTGTTATGTATGAACATCAAGCAATACAAATACTTAACAATGGATAAAAGTCAATTAAAAGAGCTAAAATTTGTTGATCAAATCATACGTCACAGAAATCAAATAAAACAGCATTAAATACTTTTATCACATGTTTATTCATTGTTCACATAATTACAGTTTTTCCAAAAAAAATAATACATATGTATTAAATTCACATTTTTTTTTACAATTATATACATTTTCATTTATCAACAAATAGAGTAAACATCAGATCTTTTCAATCAAAATATGAAGGACAAATTGCTGACTTATGGGACTAGCTAGCATTTCTGGTGTATCTAGTGTACCAAACGCTATGCTTTTACATTACATAATTAATACATTTTGTGAAACCATTCTTAGAATAAATAAATTTAAACAATATCATAAAGCCAAATCAATGACTGATTATTCTAATAAAAAAGAAGATGAATAGAAATATCACAGAGAAAGTCATTACTGTGGTCACATTTAAGACATGCTAACTACATCTTAATATTTAATAATAGTGGATAATTTGATAAATTCATGTTTTTCCATATATTTTTTTTTGCTGCCAGAACTTTGTTTAAAATTGAAGTAAGCATTTATCATATCCAAAAACTAATGACAAATAAATATTGCATAAATATAGATATATTGTCTTAAACTTTTTTGTCTTGGCCCCTGAAATTGCAAAAATACTAAACATATTCATGTACCGTAAGTTGAATGTAAATGTTCCATAAAAGAAATAATTGAACTGCTGTGTATTACTTTTACAAATAAATGGGGAATGTGTCCATGGGACACAGATGATATCCCCACCTGCATATAATGTTATAAAGGGACATAACTCAAGAACTGTAAAAGTGACACTACCCAAATTTTTACTTGATCTGAGTTTTGTGGTAATAAGCATTGTGTAAATGTTTCATAACATTTGCTCGAGGCAAACTTAAGTTAGAGAACGGAAACGAAAAATCCAGCAATTTTTCCATTTGTAAAAGGCATAACTCTAGAACGGTAAAAGTGTCAACACCAAAATTCAAACTTGATCTGTGTTTTTTGGTAATAAGGATTGTGTATAATTTTCATAACATTTGGTTGAGGCAAACTAAAGTTTAATAACGGAAGCAAACCATTTAGCAATTTTTCCATTTGTAAAGGGGCATAACTCTAGAATGGTGAAAGTGACGCCACCAAAATTCAAACTTGATCGGTGTTTTGTGGTAATGAGCATTGTGTATAAGTTTCATAACATTTGGTTGAGGTAAACTTAAGTTAGAGAACGGAAACGAAAAATTCAGCAATTTTTCCATTTGTAAAGGGGCATAACTCTAGAACAGTAAAAGTTACGCTACCAAAATTCAAACTTGATCTGTATTTTGTGGTAATGAGCATTGTGTATAAGCTTCATAACATTTGGTTGAGGCAAACTAAAGTTAGAGAATAAAAACCAATTTTGGGACGAACAAGGGTAAAACTTAATGCCCCCTCCACTACGGCGGGGGCATAAAAATCACAATAGATATGGAAGTCAGAAAAATGTGGTGAGAAAAAACTTAGTTAACTGTCTACAAACTTACAACATTTTAACCAACTACACCTAACTACTAAAAGGTTATGTACATTTTGATTTCTTGCTTAAAAATTATCATTAAAAAGGGGAACAACTGATTAATTCTTGTCAAATATATCACTAAATGACCAGTTCTTCTGTAATAAATTACTAAAAAGGAATTTAAAGATATTTTTGTATTATTTGTTTATATTTAAGCCTATAAACAAAGATAAAACATAATTATTTCAATAATTCCTCTCATTCAACTGTACTGATTTACAAACTTTATTTTTCTCAGTGTTTGTTTCATTTAAAAAAGCTTAATTTCAATATAATTAGAAACTAGAATATGCATTGAAGTTGTCAACCCAAGAAATTAAAGGCAAGATTATGATGGTTTAACTGGTTACAATGAAAACTCTTTCCTTTACTCTGATTATAGTTACAAACACAAAATATGCATTGCACAATCTATGAGAAATTTTTCCTTAAAAGTAGCAAAGGTAATGAATGATCACATATTTTTGTGCAAAAGTGCCGGTACTCTTAAACATCAAATATCTAAACACCAATTGTACAAAATTTCTATTTTTTGGTTTGTTTAAAATACTAATGGAAGCAATAACCCTTGTTTGACTAAAATCTATATGCTACAATTGACAATGCAGTTGACCAACAATTCAGATTCAGTCTTTAAAATCAAATGAAAGTAAAATATAGGTTATGTTGACCAACTGTTGACCTGCAACTTTATTACAAAATTATTAAGGTGATCCTTTCTTTTAAAGTGTGTGAAGTGAGTGATGACACTTCAGGCATGCATGGATGTTGACACAGAAAGTCCTCAAATAGTCCCCTAGTATGTTAAAGCAAACTAAATGTGAATACAATGTGTATATGAAGAGGTATGATCAGAGCTATTTTTAGGTGCATCAATTTGCAAAAATAGTAAAATTCTTCAAGCCTGCAAATAAGTAAGACAAAATTCAATAATTAGATTCTTCTGATATATTGACAAATTACCACCTCTGTGGTCTCGTGTTTGCCTCGAGTGTGGGAGGTCGTGGATTCAAACCCCTGCTGGGTCAAACCAATTACTTTAAAATCTGGCTCAGCATGTCGGTCTTGAACAAAGCAGGGTTAATTTTCAAATTACATTATCATATTCTCGCCCTGAATATAATTTTAATTTGTCGCTGGATGTTAAGCAGCCATCCATCATCATCTTATATTGACCAATCAATCAATGTCTGAGAATGTTTTTTCATAGATCTATAATACTTTTTTTTATTTTTTCTTATTCAAGAAGCCAAAGAGTGGCCTTATCATATCTCATCCTTTGACAAGGTTTTGAAAGACAATGGATACTTAAAATTACAAGTATATACAAAAATAACATTAAAATATAACGACATTGTTTTGTACTGACAGACAGAATCTTATTTTGTTCAACTTGGATCTGATGTAGTTTATAAACTGTTTAAATACCTATTCATTTAACACAATACTTAACACGGCAACAGAGTATAATGTATATGTATGAGCTACTATTTTAAGCTTTGTTGGCTAGTGTATACCATGGATTTTGGGCTTGTTTCTTAGTTACCATTCAACATTAAAAACCGAGTTAAAAATAACAAGTTTCTACATTTTACCAAATATAAAATAAATCAATAAATAAATGATCAGTAAATATGTCACATTATATGATCCTAATTACAGAAATTATACATGCTATAATATTTATATTAAAAATATCAGTTAATGTTTTGATTGACTTTTGCTGCTAATTAATTTCAGTGCTATTTATTTATAATTGATTTTATATGAATAATGTTTATATGAATAATGGTTGAACTATGAACCTTATCTCCTTATATCAGAGATGGTGAATTATATGGGTACTGTTACTACTCAAAATTATGCAAACATATATTTCATTATTATTAGAATGATCTTCGATGTAATAAATTTTAAATTAAAGGATAGGTCTTTTTACAATTTTTTCTTTGCATTTCATATTGATCTTCAGCATATCAAAATCAAAATACAAAATTTGTATATGAAAAAGATGAAAATGAAAATGGTCTTTAAAAAAACTTTCTTAGAATATGAGTTATTGAAAAAGGTAAGTTCCACTTAAAAATCACTTTTCATCTACATTTGGTTTATTGTTATTTACCATAATAAAATAAGTTCTGTGTAGCATGATATTGAAAACTTCTCTTAAAATTAAATGTAAATTTCTAAAGATTCACCTTACCTCAACCTCATTTCATGGATAAGTAAACAAGGTTGACTTTTTGTGGTAAAGTCTGTATCTCAAATACTATAAGCAGTATGTAAGATTACTGACAAAGATCATACAAGTGCAAAATAACCCAATACACAAAAAGAGGATACAAATATTAAACACAGAGAAAACTATATATACAAATATATTTACAAATTATCTTTGCAAAGAAAGATATCTTAATATCACAGATATTGAAAGCACAACAGATGTTCATGTATAAATATAAGTAAAAATCTGCCAATGTGTCAATTTTGGTATATGTACTATCTGAAGCTGCAACTATAATAACTTATTATCTACAAGGTTATTTTTTTAACAAAAAATTAATGTCAATTAATTAGAATGTTTAACAATAATTATTGACAATACTGTTGAATTAAAAATGCCAAAATATCAACTTTACAGCTTTTCTATAAAAGCATGCAAAGCAAACCTTTGATCGACTTGCTTGCTATGTTTGCTTGAATGTTTGTAAACAAAAGGGTAGGCAGAGTTTCAGTCTGTTTAATATATACTGGTATTTGATTGGACAATAAAAATTGACATACAATGTGATACTTAACATTTAAATGAAGTTAATGTTTATTGTCCAATCAAATTCCAGTATATAGTAAACAGACTGAAATAGACTACCTACCTGTTGTTTACAAACATCCAAACAAACATAGCAAGCAAGTTGATCAAAGGTTTGCTTTGCATGCTTTTATAGAAAAGCTGTAACAATATGACAAAAATAAATATTTCCTAATAAAAAAAGATAAATACTGATACTGATGATATTACTATTGTTCAAATTCTCAGTTTATAAAAGATTAATATTTTTATGGATTTTATATTAAACATTTAATAATCTTTGAAGCATGGTCTATAAAATAATAGTGGTGAAGAATATTGGAATTCATTGTATATGTATCTCTGGTCAATCTGACTAAAATACAGCATTCTACTTTTTGTTCTGGTTATTATTTTATCAACCAATGAAATTTCAGTCTTCAAATTTTTGAAGGTGTGTATCATTACGACAAAACCAGAAAATCCTGATAGGTCTTTAAATCAGAAAGTAGAATGGAGAGATGTCAGATTCTTGAATACTAAGTGTGGACACAGGATTTGAATCAGATGGTAGAATTATAATACATTTAAATATTAATAAGCTCATTTATATCCTTAAAGCATTTTAAAATATCTCAATAAACAATCTACTGCAGTTTTGTAGGTAGATCTATAGACATAGTCTTTATGTCAAAGGTTTATTCTCCCTGAGACAGATCAACTATATAAAAAAGCCACCTGATATATTGAGAAAATTGTAATGTGACTGCTTTTGTTTTATCTATATAGCATTTCATACATAGTAAATATTTTAATATGATATGCAAATTAGCACCATTAATTAAAACTTTCCATGACCATAATAGGTCAATCGATTTTTTCCTCAACAAAAATATTTGTAATGAACTCTACTATACTACATACTTATCTAAATACACTATGACAAATGACAATAAATGGAATGGAGACATAACAAAAACAATACATAAGAAATGCACCATGATATGTGTACTATACAGGGTCTGTATGTGAAGAACTAAACGGCTTTTTATATTTGGTTTTCTCTCCTTTTGTGTGCTCCAAACTCTGTTTTCTGTGGTGACCTGTACAGAAAAAGAAATCCAATTAATTATAATCTGCTTAAAAGAATTATAATATGTCTTGTAAAGTAGAAAATTCAATACTGTAAAGTCAGAATTAAGCGAATATATATCAATGAAAATCCTGTACAAGAAATAATCCAAAGTCTTGAAAAAGAATACTGAAAATTAAAATTTGATATGAACTATGACTCTGAAACAATCGCTACTCAGCTATTAAAGCAGAAGCTATTGTAATTAATCAACAAAATCCACATAGTTAATTAAAAACAGGCTATATCACATTCTCTAATTCTTTGGCAATTTAACCCTTTCTTGACCCATTGTATAAAAAAATTTAATCACATGTGGTTGCAGATGATCTCAGAAGATGATTGGCTGAGTTTAAGGGTCATATATAACCTTTATCAGCTCCTTGGATGAATTGAAATGTGCTAATAGGTGTTAGAGAAATTGACAAACTTTGTGGAATGTGGAAGGTACTGGAAGTGGATTTTCGTTCATAAAAAATGAAAATTTATTGATAATCATTAGAGAAACAGATTCTTATACAGTTACTCATGGATTATCGGATTTATCCAATCTTGATAGTTAAATTATCAATTTTAAAAGTCCTCGCCAAGGATGGGACTTTAAAATTAAATAATTTAACTATCTCTATCCGATAAATCTGATAATCCACCGTTACCATGTAAGAATCTATATGTATCTTGTCTTACCCATAGTTATTAAAGAACTGGCTATTGCCACACCAGAACTACCACTAGGTGTGAGGTCTTCGTCCCCAGTGGGTAATAATACTATTAACGATAAAATTGCTGCTTTATGTCCACTCAAAGGTTGTATAGCAACTGGTTTTGTTCCTCCCTACAAAAGAATTACAAGTTTAGTGTTTTAAATTCTGTACTTCAGAGACTTCTATACTACATGAAGAACAAAATAACAACCTTAATAAAATGATTCGCTGAGCGCAGCCTGATACGACCACAGAGGTCGAACCCTGAACAGTTGTGGCAAATTTGGACACAATATTCAAGCTTGATACTGTCTGAATTTGGATTGTGATCAAATTTTTGACATAATATAGGTTTCTGACACAAAATAAATGTGGTCAAAGATCTTATACATCCATTGCGCAATACTGTGCAATTGAAGATTTCTTCTTTAAACTTTTCAAAATTCGAAATTTTAAAAATTTTGAAAAAAAAATATGAATCCCTTTAAAAAAATTGGGAACCCCCTCCCATCTTTTTGAACCCCCCCTTGGAGCAATAACCCCAAAACTCAATCCCAGCCTTTCCTTTGTAGTATGGAACCTTGTACATAGTACAATTTCAGAGAGATCCATACACTTACACACATGTTATTGTCTGGAAACTAGAAAAATGCTTGTTTTTGGCCCTTTTTTGGCCCCTAATTCCTACATGTTTGGGACAATTAACCCCAAACTCAATTCCATCCTTCCCTTTGTTATATGGAACCTTGTGGTACAATGTCAGAGAGATCCATACACTTACACACAAGTTATTGTCTGGAAACTAGAAAACTGCTTGTTTTTGGCCCCTTTTTGGCCCTTAATTCCTAAACTGTTGGCCCCCATAACCCCTAAAATGAATCCCAACCTTCTACTTGTGGTAGTAAACATTGTGGTACATTTACAGAGCAATCGAAATACTTATACACAAGTTATTATCCTGAAACTAGAAAAATGCTTGTTTTGGGCCCCTTATTCCTAAACGGTTGGGACCATCATCCCCAAAATCAATCCCAACCTTCCTTTTGTGGTATTGAACCTTCTTACAACATTTCATAGAGATCCATTCACTTAAACTAAAGGTTATTGTCCGGAAACCAATGTGTCTTCGGAAGACGACGCAGACGACGACATCATACCATCATACGATCCCCAAAAATTTTTGCGGCCGTATAAAAACACAATGTATAGCTAGTCTAAGCAATATCATCATTTACTTCAATATTTATGATTTACGTTGTTTGAAAGAGTGTTTACTGAAATGTCTCACCTGTTCAACTGATTATAACAGAATTTTATTTTGAAAGTCTTTATGATAATGTTCTTAATACAGGTATAGCAGTAAACATTATTAATGATCCATGAAAATAGTCAAGGTCAGGTGTCAGACAGACATGTACACCTTACCATCATTCCATACACCCAATATATTTGACTTATTACTTATTGTACCTGAAAAACATGTATACCTAACAATCTTTTTAAGTACTAGATATAGTCATCTTATTACTACTCAGTTTTTTTAAGTGGTCATTGAACCATGAAAATGAGGTAAGGGACAATAGACTTATGCCCGACATTACCCTAAGACCACAAGGCATCTATATATCTTTAAACTCTTCTACCATCTAAAATATGAAGCTTTATACAAAGGGTTAACAATACCACCACTGGATAAGAATGCCTATGTTTTGCATTGGATTTCCTCGCAGGTGAGACAGAAAATATGGAAATAAACTGTTGACACAGAGATATGTCTTGCCTATCGGCATAAAATTCAGAAAAGACAATCTGATGGACAGCAACATTGCTTATTGATTCAGTCATTGGACCATTATCTAGTGGACAGGACCTGAAAATGGTCAACAGACTGAAATGTACAGACAGTAATGTAACTTTATAGAAAATATCGTTGTTTACTGTAAGTAGTTCCTACCAATATAAAAACTTAACATTGAAAATTGCTAATTAATTCAAAGTCACTGGACCATGTCCTAGGGGGCAGGGCCTCAAAATAGTCATCAAACTGATATGTACTAATAATAATGCGACTTCATACAAAATATCATTGATCTATCATAAGTAGATCCTATCAAACTGACTTAAGCAGAAAACTTAACAATTGTTGACGCAGGAGCCGTAGCCGGAAAAGCAATCCCTATGTCTCGCAGGCGTGACAAAAACTTAAAACTTCTATTGAATAAATATTTAGTTTTTTTTTTTCTAAATGCCACCACCATTATTACATTTAAATATAAAATGCTTGACTTTTTACTGTGCCTACAGAAAAAAAATGGCTTCTTTCATATATAATTTCAAAACTGTTGTTTAATCTAGAAGGATTTATTAAATGATCAATTGTATAAAGTTTTTAAATATTGCAAGAAACAACTACCATAAACCAAAACTTGAACCCAATACAGGAACAGTCAAGCAGAAAGATTTACAGCTGGGAAAATGGATGCACAGACTGGAAAATATAATGCTCCCCTGCTACCGTAGTCAGGGTATAACATGAAGAAACTTGTCCAATAGATGTCAAACTAAGTTCATTTTTATTTACCTTTTTCCGCTTTCTTAAATCTACAGAATTTGTTTCTTTCTTCTCTGCCAGATCTAATTTTCTATCAATTTCTACGGTAACAGAAGCAAAAGGTCGACTTGCCATTTCTTCCATCTCAACCATCATTCTCTATAAAAAAAAAAATCTTTTTAATTTTTATCAAAATTAATGTAGTTATTTTTCTATTAAATTATATCTCAATGTATAAAAAACTACAGTTCTTAAACATGTAACAGTTTTGCACAGCCAACAGATGACCCCACTCGAGGGGAAATTCTAACATGATCACCATTTTAGGGTAGATAGTTATGCTATAAAGAAAAGGTCCTAGATAAAGATTAAATGATCCAAGGTCATAATGAAAGGCCACTAGTGTGTATCATTACCATTTTGAAGAGCCTAGCTTCAGAATAGTGATCAGACAGGTGATTGACATTGCCTATGAAAGGCCACTAGTATGTATCATTACCATTTTGAAGAGCCTAGCTTTAGAATAGTGATCAGATAGGTGATTGACATTGCCTATGAAAATAGTGATAAACAGATTATCTATGGTCTTTCAACTCGTGGAAGTTTCTTGATTCCATCTCAGAGTTGTCACCCTTCTGTGAGATTACAGATAAAATATGAAAACATAATAAACATAGTAAAACATAGTATAAAGAGTTCTTAGTTAAATATTGAATATAAAATCAACTTGATAACATATTTGTTTTTCGTTTATAGTGGTGTAAAACAAGAGTGCACACGCTGAAATGTCTCGCCTTCTTTACTAATCATTGATATTATGTTGATAGTCCTAAATATAAAGCTTTATTACAACTGTCACATAAACTTAACATTAACCAAGTAAACTAAACATTGACCAATGAACCATGAAAATAAGGTCAAGGTCAGATGAACCATGCTAGGCAGGCATGTACAGCTAACAATTCTTCCATACAACAAATATAGTTGACCTATTGCTTATAGTTTAAGAAAAACAGACAAAAACACAAAAACTTAACACTGAGCAATGAACCTTGAAAATGAGGTCAAGGTCAAATAAAACCTGCGTGACTGACATATAGATCATAAAATATTTCCATACACCAAATATAGTTGAACTATTGCATATAGTATTAGAAAAAAAGACAAAAACTCAAAAACTTAACTTTGACCACTGAACCATGAAAATGAGGTCAAGGTCAGATGACACCTGCCAGCTAGACATGTACACCTTACAATCATTCCATACACCAAATATAGTTGAACTATTGCATATAGTATTAGAAAAAAAGACAAAAACTCAAAAACTTAACTTTGACCACTGAACCATGAAAATGAGGTCAAGGTCAGATGACACCTGCCAGCTAGACATGTACACCTTACAATCATTCCATACACCAAATATAGAAGACCTATTGCATACAGTATAAGAAAAACAGACCAAAACACAAAAACTTAACTATAACCACTGAACCATGAAAATGAGGTCAAGGTCAGATGACACCTGCCAGCTAGACATGTACACCTTACAATCATTCCATACACCAAATATAGAAGACCTATTGCATACAGTATAAGAAAAACAGACCAAAACACAAAAACTTAACTATAACCACTGAACCATGAAAATGAGGTCAAGGTCAGATGACACCTGCCAGTTGGACATGTACACCTTACAGTCCTTCCATACACCGAATATACTAGACCTATTGCTTATAGTATCTGAGATATGGACTTGACCACCAAAACTTAACCTTGTTCACTGATCCATGAAATGAGGTCGAGGTCAAGTGAAAACTGTCTGACGGGCATGAGGACCTTGCAAGGTACGCACATACCAAATATAGTTATCCTATTACTTATAATAAGAGAGAATTTAACATTACAAAAAATCTGAACTTTTTTTTCAAGTAGTCACTGAACCATGAAAATGAGGTCAAGGACATTGGACATGTGACTGACGGAAACTTCGTAACATGAGGCATCCATATAGAAAGTATGAAGCATCCAGGTCTTCCATCTTCTAAAATATAAAGCTTTTAAGAAGTTAGCTAACGCCGCCGCCGGATCGCTATCCCTATGTCGAGCTTTCTGCGACAAAAGTCGCAGGCTCGACAAAAATCAGGCCGTTACTTTCACTTTTTGATTGTTTTACCTTTGTCATTGGGGGTCATTTATATCTTGCTATGGGGTATGGGTTTTGCTCATTGTTGAAGGTCATACAGTGACCTTTAGTTGATAAACTTTTATGTAATTTGGTGAAGAGTTGTCTCATAGGCAATCATCAACCTTTTTTTTTTTTGTATTGATAAAGTCATAAAATAATCTGAAATGGTAATTGTAAAAGATGATGTTTCAATGCTCCAGCCTCCTAGTATTCAATACACAAGACTTTGAGTAGTAAACCATGAATAAAGCAACAATTGATTCATATCATTTCTTATAATTTATACAACCTACCTGTCTCCTTCTGTATAAATCATATTTATGTTTGATTTTATATAATACTGCTGCTATGATAAGTAATGATAGAAAACAGCTGAAAAATATAGATAAAAAATCAGTATAAGATCTATCCATATATTAATCTTCATAATAACGTATCCGTAAAGGCAAATTAACATTTCAGAAATGATTTTAAGTGATTTTTACTTCTTATAAAATATAAACCTATAGGAAGAAAATACAAATTTAAATTCATTCCTTATTCAAATGAAAGTTGTACAATTTCAACAATTATCATGCCATGTAAGTATTGAATGAAACCTTTTATTGCAGATTTTTCTTTTGTGTTAATTCATAGACAACAAAATTTCAAATAGAAGAAGACTTTGTGATAATGTTCCTATCCCCTATTTGAAGTTTATTAGTCTTCCTTTTAATTTGTCCTTATTTGTTAATAAAATTAGAAAGTATTAAGAAATAAAGGTTCCAACTTCTTTAGGCCTTAGGTGATTGGCTATTCTTCAAGGTCCAGTTTGTCACAAAGCTCCTCAAGTATTTATGTATCCTGGACTTTCAATTTTTTGGTTTTGAGTGTTCCTGATGAAGACTTATCCAGAAAAGTGTATCAGACATACCAAGTGTTCCTGATGAAGACTTATCCAGAAAAGTGTATCAGACATACCAAGTGTTCCTGATGAAGACTTATCCAGAAAAGTGTATCAGACATACCAAATGTTCCTGATGAAGACATATCCAGAAAAGTGTATCAGACATACCAAGTGTTCCTGATGAAGACTTATCCAGAAAAGTGTATCAGACATACCAAGTGTTCCTGATGAAGACTTATCCAGAAAAGTGAATCAGACATACCAAGTGTTCCTGATGAAGACTTATCCAGAAAAGTGTATCAGACATACCAAGCATATAAGACGTTATTTTTTACTTCATATTGAGCATATCTGCAAAATCAAAAGATATCCTACATAAAATACACCGTCATCATATTCTATTCTTTTTTTTCTTGTGAAACAATTGAGTTATTCACCAAATTTTGTAAGTCGTCCTCTACTCTCTTTTAAAACTTTTTTTCAATGTGTATATTTATCCAACAATGATAAACTCACCTAAAGAATGTTACAAAGAAATGAACTAAATCAATCTTGGGAAACTGTGAGAAGGAAATCTGAAAATATAAACGCATAGACAGTGTAAGAAGTGTAAGCATCTTTCTATTTTATTGTATTGAATGTGATTAGATGGCTTCCCAGTTTACTATATGGCAGAATTACAGAGGATTATGTTTAATTTGATACCAACTTGTCTTCATTAGTGAGTGTTGATTTAAAGCTTGAGATATAGAATGGTGATTGTCTTCATAAGCTGTGATTTTAAGCTCATATTCAATTGCAAGCAACATACAAGAAAGTGACTGTTCGTCTTAAGTCAGTAAAAAATTCAAGGAAGAACTTACAAATATTGGAATTAATATTACTTCAAAATTAAGTAAAACAGTGTTAAAGCTTGAGATAGTATGGATGATTAACTTTCCCTAAGGATAGCTTGTACATGATGTTATGTTCTTGTCTCATTTGGGATCACATATTTTTATTCATATTTCATGTTTTAGACAAAAATAAGTGTCAACCACATATAAAAACATATTTCCTCTGTTCAACTGACCTGAAAAGTATTTTTATAAACCTTGTAGAAAAATATAATTTCAACATATATTTGATAACTTTTTCAGTATTAAATATTACCGATGAGTCAAAATTTAGTAGAATAAGTTTTATGGACTTTGTAAAAAAGAATTGCTGTCAAGTGTGGGAATTTTTAGACCTATGGAACATAGGAATTTTTAGACCTGTGGACCCGACCCGCAGGTCTATCTCAGAATGTTATGTATTATCTTTGCCCTTGTTTGATGAACAACTACCCAATATTAAATCTTTATCACTTCTTAATTAGTGTCACAAGCATATTTCCAAGTCAGATAATAGACAGTAGAACTAACTTTATGTCCTAATCTATGCTCATTTTAACATGTTCAGGAGTAGTAGTGTATACAAAAACTATATTAGAATTTAACATCTATTTTAGAACTTACCTGAAGCCAAGAGCACTTCATATTAGAATTTAACATCTATTTTAGAACTTACCTGAAGCCAAGAGCACTTCATATTAGAATTTAACATCTATTTGAGATTTTAGAACCTACCTGAAGCCAAGAGCACTTCATACTAGAATTTAACATCTATTTTAGAACTTACCTGAAGCCAAGAGCACTTCATATTAGAATTTAACATCTATTTGAGATTTTAGAACTTACCTGAAGCCAAGAGCACTTCATACTAGAATTTAACATCTATTTTAGAACTTACCTGAAGCTAAGAGCACTTCATATTAGAATTTCACATCTATTTGAGATTTTAGCACCTACCTGGAGCCAAGACAACTTCATATTAGAATTTAACATCTATTTGAGATTTTAGAACTTACCTGAAGCCAAGAGCACTTCATATTAGAATTTAACATCTATTTGAGATTTTAGAACTTACCTGAAGCCAAGAGCACCTCATATTAGAATTTTACATCTATTTGAGATTTTAGAACTTACCTGAAGCCAAGAGCACTTCATACTAGAATTTAACATCTATTTTAGAACTTACCTGAAGCCAAGAGCATTTCATATTAGAATTTAACATCTATTTGAGATTTTAGAACTTACCTGAAGCCAAGAGCACTTCATACTAGAATTTAACATCTATTTGAGATTTTAGAACCTACCTAAAGCCAAGAGCACTTCATATTAGAATTTAACATCTATTTGAGATTTTAGCACCTACCTGGAGTCAAGAGCACTTCATATTAGAATTTAACATCTATTTGAGATTTTAGCACCTACCTGAAGCCAAGAGCACTTCATATTAGAAGTTAACATCTATTTGAGATTTTAGAACCTACCTGAAGCCAAGAGCACTTCATATTAGAATTTAACATCTTTTTGAGATTTTAGAACTTACCTGGAGCCAAGAGCACTTCATATTAGAATTTAACATCTATTTGAGATTTTAGAACCTACCTGGAGCCAAGAGCACTTCATATTAGAATTTAACATCTATTTGAGATTTTAGAACCTACCTGGAGCCAAGAGCACTACATATTAGAATTTAACATCTATTTGATATTTAAGAACCTACCTGAAGCCAAGAGCACTTCATATTAGAAGTTAACATCTATTTGAGATTTTAGAACCTACCTGAAGCCAAGAGCACTTCATATTAGAATTTAACATCTTTTTGAGATTTTAGAACTTACCTGAAGCCAAAATGGAGTATGAAATCCGTATACATAAACAAGGAATGTTGTATTTTCTTTCTCTCCAAATGAAAAGTCACCATGTTCAAATTTGGTACGGAAATATGTACAAGGATAAGCTTCATATAACTTCTCAACTCTATTATTTCCTAAAAATTAAACAAATTGTATTTTGATATAAAACTGAAGAACTGCATTACTTAACATTAACAAGTTTCAATAAATATGTATTGTACAAGTCACTAGTACACTGTGTAACTAATAATCTTGTTGACATATTTGTTACTTGAATGCTTTGTGTGAAGGTGTAATTGATGCTTTTATCTGACAGTCTGTTATTATTCACCCGGAGGATTGAGGCAGGTTTAATGTTTAGATTCTTTTATTTAAATTATCCAATGTTATATCCGCAAAGTTTCAATATTATGATTATTTTTTTCATCAAATATTTTACAACTGATCCTTGAAACAGAAATTCAAAATTTATTTACAACAAAAAAAGGAAAGACTTTCAACTAAATTTTTATTTTAAAACATATTATGATCAATTGGTCTGGTCCAACTTACTTGTTCTTACTGAGATATTTAGATATGATTCTCCAGAACAGTTCACTTTAAAATCTACATCTCTGTCAGACTGTAAACAAATAAAATAGCATTGCATTAGTCTGTAATGAAACATATCAATCATATTAATGAACAGTAGTTTGGATATAATACAGTTTAAACTTATTTTGGGTTTTTAAATGACTCTTACTAATAGTTCTAATAATTAAAGTCAATAAATTATATTTATAAATTGTTTTCCAAAAAATTTCAATATTTTACCATGACTCATAACTGCCAACCCTCCCGTTTTGAGCAGGAGACTCCCGCTCATACGGCGAAATTCCTGAAATCTCCCGCTTGCCGGTCCACTCCCGCGCAGGAGTATAGAATCTCCCGCGTTCGGATATTTTAACCCCGAATGACCTGCATTAGTAATTCTCTGGCTAAATAAACAATCGGCGATCTTTTGAAAACTTTGGTCAGTAGTTTTTATGTTCAATTTATAAGTAATTGAAATTCATTTCTGCTATGTCAACTCCAACAAAATAGAGGTCTTTGTCTGGACCAATCGGCAGTGTGAAAAGAAGAATGGATAACTGCAAATCGAAATGTCAAGCAGACTGAATGAAAGATTTTTAATTTTTACGACCAAGTTCACTGATACTTGGCAATGAATCTTCATTTTGCACATTATGTTCAATCAATTTTTCAGTTTCTTCTGGTGGTCTGTACGACGTTTGAAAGCATGCTTAGTTTGGGTCTCACAACAAAATCAAAATATGGAATGTTATGAGTCTCCGAGGTATTGAAAAAGGCAAAAAAAAAACACACCTTGTATAGATTATAACCATGAATTGAAGAAATAAAGTATATCTATTAACTCTTATTGGTGTTTTGTAGATGAATAAATAAACAGGTCATATATTTAACTTAAAAATGTCGTTTGCGCAAAATCTCCCCCTCAGCTGTCATAACTGAGGGGGAGATCTCCCTCTTTGAAGGTTTCAGAGGTTGGCAGGTATGCCATGACTTCATCTTTTAAATTTCAAGAAATGATAAAAACAATTACAACTTCTATTACTTTTATCAGCAATACTTACTGCTTGTGGTATGTTCATAAAATTGATCTGTGTGTAAAATCTGTCATCTTTCTTTGATAAATTAAAGGTAAACTGATAGTCTGTAACCAGGTGATCTAAAATAAGAGATAAATAATTATATTACTTTACAAATATATTTATCCGTCTCATAATTTTTCTTATAAAAATATCAACAAAGATATATCAAAGATTTATTTTCATTGATAAATGTAATTGTACAATAACTGTTCCATGCTGTATTGATTTATTGATAAATGTAACTTTACAATAACTTTCCATGCTGTATTGATTCATTGATAAATGTAACTTTATAATAACTTCCCATGCTGTATTGATTTATTGATAAATGTAACTTTACAATAACTTTTCATGCTGTATTGATTTATTGATTAATGTAATTGTACAATAACTTTCCATGCTGTATTGATTCATTGATTAATGTAATTGTACAATAACTTTTCCATGCTGTATTGATTCATTGATAAATGTAATTGTACAATAACTTTTCCATGCTGTATTGATTTATTGATAAATTTAATTGTACAATAACTTTTTTCATACTGTATTGATTTATTGATAAATGTAACTTTACAATAACTTTTCATGCTGTATTGATTTATTGATTAATGTAATTGTACAATAACTTTCCATGCTGTATTGATTCATTGATAAATGTAATTGTACAATAACTTTTTCATACTATTGATTTATTGATAAATGTAACTTTACAATAACTTTTCATGCTGTATTGATTCATTGATTAATGTAATTGTACAATAACTTTTTCATGATTCATTGATAAATGTAATTGTACAATAACTTTTCATACTATTGATTTATTGATAAATGTAACTTTACAATAACTTTTCATGCTGAATTGATTTATTGATTAATGTAATTGTACAATAACTTTCCATGCTGTATTGATTCATTGATTAATGTAATTGTACAATAACTTTTCCATGCTGTATTGATTCATTGATTAATGTTATTGTATAATAACTTTTTCATGCTGTATTGATTCATTGATAAATGTTCTTGTGCAATAACTTTTTCATATTTTCAACATAAAAAAAACTTACAGAAACAGGTGCCTCCTTTTTTTGGATCTCCAAAATATTTATGAGATTCATCACACCTACAAAATTATAAATTACATAACACAGTCGACGAAAGTTTAACTATAACACATTCTTTGTTTTGAGTCATTTAAGATGCACATCAGCCTTTCTTAGTACTAAGTGTTCAATGAAACTTCTGTGATAATGTTCTGTGTTCATATGTACAAATGAAAATCAACCGGGTATCATTTATTAATTAGATTAAAATGCAGGCCTTTATTTTTCTTGTTTGAATTGATTTACATTTGTAATGTCTGGGCCTTTTATAGCTTGCTATGGAGAATGGGTTTTGCTCATTGTTGAAGGCTGTATGATGACTTGCAAACTTCTACCTCATTTGGTCTCTGGTGGTCAGTTGTTTTATTGGAAATCATACCACATCTTCTTATTTTCATATGAAAAAACAATCAGGTACCGCAAGTTAGAAGGTCTTACGACTAAAATATAATTCACTAATTTTTCATACTTGTCTGCATTCACACCTCCAATTCTAGTAACAAACTTACTTGTCACATTTATCACCTATCACACCTCGAGTTCTACAGTTACATCCTCCAGTACTTCTGTCACATGAATCTGCCTGCTCATTGCATTCACATCCTACAAGTATATAAGGATAATTATTATGCAAAATTGAACCTAAACAATAATCTAGATGTGAATCTTCCATGGTAGACATGTGTCACAAGCAATCCTTTTTGAATCAAATTAAGATAAAGTACCCAAAAAACTTTAAATAAATGAAGAATGTGTCCATCAGACTCAGATGCCCCACTTGAAAATATATACGGCAAATTCAGCAATTTTTACGTTTATAAAGGGACATAACTCTAGAACAATGAAAGTAACGCAACCCAAATTAGAACTTGATCTGTGTTTGGTAGTAATAACATATTTTCTGTCAGTATCTTTAAAAATCATAACGTTACTTTCCACCTGATGAGTTAATAAAATTGAGAATGGAAATGGGGAATGTGTCAAAGAGACAACAACCCGACCATAGAGCAGACAACAGCTGAAGGCCACCAATGGGTCTTCAATGCAGCGAGAAACTCCCCCCCCAGGAGGCGTCCTTCAGCTGGCCCCTAAACAAATAAGTATACTAGTTCAGTGATAATGGACGTCATATTAAACTCCAAATTATACACAGGAAACTATATTAAAAATGATACAAGACTAACAAAGGCCAGAGGCTCCTGACTTGGGATAGGCGCAAAAATGCGGCGGGGTTAAACATGTTTTTGAGATCTCATCCCTCCCTCTATTCCTCTAGCCAATGTAGAAAAAACAAATGCACAACAGTACGCACAGTAAAACTCAGTATAAGAGAAGTCCGAGTCCGATGTCAGAATAGGAAACAAAAGAAAATAAACAAAATGACAATAATACATAAATAACAACATACTACTAGCAGTTACTGACATGCCAGCCTTTTTTCAACTGATTTTTATAGTTCGTTCTTATGTTGTTCTGTTACACCATTGTCCCAGGTTAGGGGGAGGGTTGGGATCCCGCTAACATGTTTAACCCCCCAACATTCTGTATGTATGTGCCTGTCCCAAGTCAGGAGCCTGTAATTCAGTGGTTGTCATTTGCTGCTGTGTTACATATTTGTTTTTCGTTCATTTTTTTTTACATAAATTAGGCCGTTAGTTTTCTCGTTTGAATTGTTTTACATTTGTCATTTCGGGGCCTTTTATAGCTGACTATGCATTATGGGCTTTGCCATTGTTGAAGGACGTACGGTGACCTATAGTTGTTAAATTCTGTGTCATTTGGTCTCTTGTGAAGAGTTGTCTCATTGGCAATCATACCACATCTTCTTTTTCATATTCCTATGTTTTCAAAAAGAATAGAATACCTACGTTTACAAATGCCTCCATTGACAGGATTCACATAATATTCTTAACTATATTTCTACAGATGTTTATAAAGTATAGAATACCTACGTTTACATATGCCTCCATTGACAGGTTTCCCATGATAGCCTTCTTTACAGTGTTCACAATGGTCACCTACAAACAAAAGGATACACAGTAAACCACTAAAGTGCTTCTTTTATCTCATGTTATGGTCTCTATATTTTCCTTTCTTTAAAAAAATACAAGCTTATACATTAATATTAAAAAAAACAGTTATGTTAGATAAGATGTTCTTAGCAACATTACTTTCCTCATTTTAAAACTAATTACTGAAAGGCTTTATATAGTACTTTACAGATAAAGGCAAAAAATACTCAAATTTAACTGAGATCAATTCTTTTTTACATCACTCTATTCACATACCTATGTTAGTTTTCCTTCCAAGTCTTACCTTCAGTCATGTTTTTACATTCCACACAAAGTTCTGTTTTACCCGTTGTATTTGAACAGATACTGTGACCATTACACTGACACTCTGTAAAATTAAACATTCACATCTTTATATTCACTGTTCTTTGGACTTAATAAGTTACCAGCAACTGAAAATCAGTTTAGTTTTCAATAAATTTTTAGACCTGATCATTTTCATATTATGTTTGCTACTGCTATACCATCTGCAACACAAAAAGTTCACTGCAGCATATTTACTTTGATAACATCTGTATGATATCTAAGTAGTGTACTTGAGTCTATTAAATTTGTTTCTTATTTTAAGTTTATATCATGTCATTGAAAACAAATTTTGTTCAAGCCTATTCAACAAAATCCCAGCACCTGTTTCGTTCATTGTTTTTTTAAATATTTATTGAAATTTATTATATATAAGGTTTAATTTCAAATACTTTTGAACCATCATGTTGTTTGCTATATATATGTGTATCTTGTTTTCGAGTGACAGATTTATAAATTTTTCAAAACATCTTTTGGAATCCCATATTTGACATCTATATATAATTGTACTATTCTATTGTTATTATCTCTTTTTCAATAATAAATATGGTTTAAACTCAACAAAACTTACCAGGACACCCAATAAAGAACCATCTATTTTTGTCACATGACCCTAGATCTATCTGTGATTGGTTATTTACAGGACCCTGAAGACCTCCTTCCATACATTTCCCTAGACCAGTATTAGTTTTATCATTACACCATCCACACTTAGGATTAGCTTGGCACTCGTCACAAGTGTGTAGATCTGAACACCTGGTGGCTGTAAAATTCATTCAAAACAAATACATATACAGTGAAATAACAAAAGGATGTTTGTTTCAGAAACAGACAATTTTTCTATTTCTATTTAATTATATACATTTTTGTGGTGCATAACTTCTATATGTGTGAACTCTTTCAGAGAAGTTTAAATAATCTTGGTTGAAAACCGTAGGAGAAGTTGATCAACCCACTTATCCCTGTCTGCCCCAAAAATAACCGTACTGTATACACTTGGTGCAACCTGATCAAAAACAAATTTAGAATGTTTAAAATAGCTAAAAATAATTCACATTTATATATTTTAGAATAGTTTAAATACAAGACAGGCAGGTAAATTCTGTTATACCATCCACTCTTACTTTTGACCTATTATGTTCCAAATATTTAAGTATTCTGAAGCCTACAACTTTTGAGTTAACATGAAATTGACAGATTAGGCATACATCTCACAACCAATTATGATTGTATGTCTTTCTATGTAATACTAAGGATCAACATTACATTTCTGCATAACATATACTGTAAATTCAGAAAAGTTTTTGAAATGATTTTATCATTGTTAAAATTGGGACATGATGGTTTTGCGAATTTTGATATAATTATTTACATGCAACATTTCCTGAAATGGCAATAATTAATCCTGCAGTTTTGTCCATTATTTAACAGTGGCAATAATACATCAAATTTTCTTAATTTACAGTATTTATACTATCTGACATGTTTTACAAACCTGGACATTTATCATGTTGTGTTGTCCACTCCATGCACTGACCATAAATAAATGAAGCCACATATGAATTAGTTTGTACACACAACTGTTTATTACCACACCACATACATCCTTTGTCCGTACAATTCTCACAACTTTTGTGTGCTATACACGGCTGATCACATTTCTTTACTTGTCTTGTAGTATTATAATCTACAAAACATGGACAATAGTCAAACATGTGTACACTAGCATTATTCACTTCAATATTTATTTTCATAAAAAAACCATGTTTATTATAATAATTTTTGATCACCTGTAATCAGGGGGTAAACAATTATTTATACACCCATAACTATAACTAAACAGATCTTGGTCCCTTAATAGCAGTATAAGTGCAAATTTTATCTTCCATAATATTATTTTACTTGATTTTTTACTTGAAAGAAGTGCTCTTTTGCGCTTGTTGTAATGTATGTGTGTTTCAATACATGTAATTAATTAAAAATGTTCTAAAAATTTTATATAAAAGTTATATCTGACATTTTTCCTCCGAATCAATCAATTTTTAAGAATTAGTACTCATTTCTTAATAACAATAATGTCTTCATGTTATCACATACTCATGCTGTTTTCTTATTCAATGTCTCTAAATATAGGTTCAATGAGAATAAGCGTGATGAAGTCATATGACAACATCAGTCTCAGACAAATGAATTGACTGAGATCTAATGATATAATTTGTTATTTAAGGTAAACTGATCGTCTGTACTAATCCATTTTTACTGTTAAAACTTTCATATGCATTATCTCTTTATTTTCTCTTTACATCACTAGGTTCACTACCTCTTGTTTAGAGTTCTTTAACTATTAATAATGGTTGATTGATTGTTGATTGCTTAATGTCCAGTGGCAAATATTTCATGCATGTTCAGGACGACTATCAATAATGTATCTTGACACTGAATTAGATGACAACATTTCTCTTTTTTCCATAATTACTTAACTTTAATGAAGTTTTTATTTATGACAATGTCATATCTAAAGGATCATATAACTTACAACAGCTCCTTTGTATCATCTAGTTATTATTTTCCTCATATGAATATAAACTGTTGACACAGAAATACATCTCACTTTTTGTAATTTTGATAGTAAATGAAAATGTTGACATTAAAATGGCAATGTTCAACGTGTAAACTATGCAAAAAATGAAAGTTCATGAATCATGACTGAAGATGCAGGGCCAAATAACCTCCTTGGAAATAAGAAATGCCAATGCTAATAAAACTGCATACCATATACCATTGACTTATCATAATTGGTACTCTATAAACTAACCTAAACACAAACTTTAACCTGTAAACTATGCAAAATTTAAAGTCAATGAACCATAATGATAGGGCGGGGCCATATAATCTCCAAGGAAACAAGACTTGCAAATGCTTATACAACTGCATACCGAATATAAACGAATTGACATAAGGGGTTATCTTAAACTGGTCTTATCACAAACATAAACATGTAAAATTGTAAACTATGCAAAATATTGCAAGTAACTACACCATGACTGAGGGGTAAGAGCCAAATAATCTCCACGGAGATGAGATGTTCCAATGCTAATGCAACTGCATACTAAATACATTGACCTGCCACTAATGGTTCCCCTTAAACTGACCTAATCACAAACTTATACATGTGTGTAAACTAAGCAAAAAAAGTAAATAGACCAAGACTGAGGAGGCCGAGCCAAATAATCTCCATGGAGATGAGATGTTCCAATGCTAATGCAACTGCATACCAAATACATTGACCATCTGCTAATGGTTCCCCTTAAACTGACCTAATCACAAACTTATACATGTGTGTAAACTAAGCAAAAAAAGTCAATAGACCAAGACTGAGGAGGCCGAGCCAAATAATCTCCACAGAGATGAGATGTTCCAATACTAATGCAACTGCATACTAAATACATTGACCTGCCACTAATGGTTCCCCTTAAACTGACCTAATCACAAACTTATACATGTGTGTAAACTAAGCAAAAAAAGTCAATAGACCAAGACTGAGGAGGCTGAGCCAAATAATCTCCATGGAGATGAGATGTTCCAATGCTAATGCAACTGCATACCAAATACATTGACCTGCTACTAATGGTTCCCCTTAAACTGACCTAATCACAAACTTATACATGTGTGTAAACTAAGCAAAAAAAGTCAATAGACCAAGACTGAGGAGGCTGAGCCAAATAATCTCAACGGAGATGAGATGTTCCAATGCTAATGCAACTGCATACCAAATACATTGACCTGCCACTAATAGTTCCCTTTAAACTGACCTAATCACAAACAAATACATGTAAACTAAGCAAAAAAATTCAAAGTCAATAGACCAAGACTGAGGAGGCAGAGCCAAATAATTTCCATCGAAATGAGATGTTCCAATATTAATATATCTGCATACCAAATACCATTGACCTACCACTAGTGGTTCCCAATAAACTGACCTAAACCCGCTGCATTTGTTTGCACCTGTCCTAAGTCAGGAATCTGATGTTCAGTAGTTGTCGTTTGTTGATGTGGTTCATAAGTGTTTCTCGTTTTTTATACAGATTAGACCATTGGTTTTCCCATTTGAATGGTTTTACACTAGTAATTATTTGGGGCCCTTTATAGCTTACTGTTCGGTGTGGGCCAAGGCTCCGTGTTGAAGACCGTACTGTGACCTATAATGGTTTACTTTTATAAATTTTGACTTGGAGAGTTGTCTCATTGGCACTCATACTACATCTTCTTATATCTACTAATCACAAACTAAAACATGTAAACTTAGCAAAAGCTTCAAAGTCAATAGACCATGACTGACGGGGCTGAGCCAAATAATCTCCATAGAAATGTCCCAATGCTAATACAACTGCACACCAAATACCATTGACCTACCACTAGTGGTTCCCCATAAACTGATCTTATCACAAAATAATTTATGTAAAGCCAATTGCAACTGAGTTTTACAGTTTTTTCTTATGTTGTGCTGTCACTGCTGTGACACCACTGTCTCAGGTTAGGGGAGGGTTGAGCGCTCACAAACATGTAACCCCGCCACATTCTTAACAGTGACTGTCATTGGTTCATTCTGTCATTTGTTTTTTGTAAATTGTTTTGTTATAAATTAGGATGTAATTTTTCTCGTTCGAATTATGAATTTTTCATGTCAGGGCCTTTTATAGCTGACTATATGGTATGGGCTTCCTCATTGTTGAAGGGCTGTATGGTGGCCTAAAATTGCTTACTACCACTTCATTTTAACTCTTGTGGATACTCGTCTCATTGGCAATCATACCACATCTCCTCATTTTTAAACTGAGCAAAAGTTTTAAAGTCAATAGACAATGATCGAAGGGGCAGGGCCAAATAATCTCCATCAACATGATATGTTCAAATGCTTATAAAACTGCATACCAAATATCATTGACCTACCACTAGTGGTTCCCTATGAACTGACCTAATCACAAACTAATACATTGTTGATGCAGCTGACTCTGTCAGATACAGCACACCCTTTTTTTTTACTTAGTCAAAGAGAGACAAAAATTCCCTCCATAGAATTCACTGGCATGTTATGTTTTGTGACATTGTATTTTGCAAGCTATTTAGAAATAATTTCCCATCTCACCAGAAGTATAAATGACAGCCTGACATTTCTTTTGACTGTGATTCCATTCACAAGTGTCAGACTGGATACAGGCAAAACAATTCTGTGTCACATAACATGGACTACTGTATTTGGCTGGACATTGTGATATTGTGGTAACAGGCTGCATCATTTAAAATAAAATGCCATTTATTGAGTTTCCTACTAATAACATATAAAACTACCAACATCAGCAATGGTAGCTTTGTTGAACTGATTCAATCTTTATCAAATAAAGCTGTCTCAAAAAGTAAAATAAAACTTTGATATAACTTTTATACATTTCTGCCTTTTTTCATTATTCCAGATTTTTTTTATTAAATAGAATCAGTTTAACAAAAGCCCATCCATTTAATGTACTTCACATTTAAACCACATATTTCATAGATTAAATTTCATATGCAGTTTAAATATTCAGACCTGTGCATTAAACTGATCAACCTTGTTTAATTTTGCCATCTGACAAACAAATTTCAGCTGTATAGTTTAAATACTCATTTTTGTTTTCAGATGGCTATCTTAAAACAATGTTTACACAGTTAAGCATTATTGACCCCACAAGCATATATATATATGAAGCAATACTAACCTAAACTTTCCACCTCCTTTATATCAGAACATTTATCTGACCAATCACATTCACCGTAACTCATGCAGGTTGGACAATGTTTATGATCTGAGCAGACAGAGCTATCAAATGGGTTGGATTTTTGAGTGGTACAATTTTTTGTCTGCGAAATCAAACAAAATTAAACAGTAATAAGCATGCAAAAATAAACATAACTGACATAATGTAAATGAAAATTACATAAAAATCTTCTATTAATATAATTCATTCAAAGTATCCATACAAGTATTATCTTTCTTTAGTTTACATTTCTTTATTTGGCTGTTGCAAAAAGCTTCTAAGTTGTCTCAAACAAACACTTATGCCAATATTTGATATTAGATATTTGATGTTAAAAGTAAAATTTTGATAAAAGAACAGCATTCAAATGTCCCCTGTTTGCACATATTATATCAATCCAAGGGCAATAACTAAAAAAAAATAATACTTTGTCTTTTAACTTTTTAATAAATATCTTACAAGAAATGTAAGAGAGAGTAACACGAGATCACTAACAATGTTATTTTCAATATATTTCCATTTCAAAAGGGAATAACTGTAAAGTAGATGGTTGGTACTCTTCCAAGACCTTACTGATATAAGCCTTTGATATAAACTTCATCAAAATTTGACAAGTAATGTAGGTGTGAGAGTGCTTACAATGCAATGTTCAATAAAAATTACATTTCTAAGTGACATAGCTCCTGTAAAAATATAGATCAGCCCTGATTTTCGATATCACCCAAACATTACTGATATAAACCTATGATATAAATTTCATTGCAATTCTATCAAAAATGTAAGTATGAGAGTGCTTACAATGCAATTTTCTATATCACTAATATTTTTCCAAGGGACACAACTCTTTTAAAAATAATTGATCAGCATTGATTTTCAAACCTGTCTGAGGCACAGCTGATATAAACCTTTTATATAAATTTCATAAACTTTTAAAAAGAATTGTACACAAAAGAGTGCTTACAATGCAACTTTCGGTAGAATTTACATTTCTAAGGGACAATAACTAAAGTAAAAATAATTGATCAGCACTGATTTTCGAACTCCTCTCAGACATTGCTGATATAAACCTTTGATATAAATTCCATAACAATCCAACAAGAGATGTATACTTGAGAGCACTAACAATGCAATTTTCTATATAATTAATATTTCAAAGGGGCAAAAAATCAAGATTGCATTATCAGTTTGCTTCTCAGTTTTAAGAAATTTTATGTGCAATAATAATTGCAATTGTTGAAAAATGGACAGAGCTTCAAGATTTTTATTGCAATATCAGTAAATGCCACATACAAATAAAGCAAACAAAATTTAAAATGTAAATAATTAATTTTTGCCTACGCTATCGCACTTTTAAAATGATAAAACATTGTAAATATTTTTTAATTTACAGTATACTTCATCATTTCTACACCAGGGAGCAAAGGTCCAAACATTTTTTTGTAATTTTCTGCTATTTTAAAATGCTTGAAAGTTAAGAAGTATTTCAAATTCATTTGGGAGATGGGAAAAAGAAACTGTGACACGTGTGATTCAGCATCATATAATAAGTAAGCTTAGATCATTTCTATATTAATTTGGGTATTGTCCGCCAAAGATGACTATTTTTCAGAACCCTTGCTACATACTATATACCCAAACTAAGGACACACACAAAAGCATGCAAACATAAAATATATTAGAAACAACACCGATATTTAAATTTTACAACTGGTTATTTTCCATTGAAAATACTTTCTTGTATAAATTGAACATCAGCCCATTTAAGCTGTAGTTTCTTAGAAATATCTGTCTTGTCTTTTTTTTTCTCCTATTGTTTGTAATGTATGACATCATATACACAAATATCTTTACTAAGCTGTATGTGCCTGTATTGCTGTAGGAGCAAAGTTATAGCCTTTACAAATACTGTAAATTCAGAAATTATTATTGTGTGCATTTATTATTTCCATTTTTGAAGACAGAACAAAAGTGCAAGATTAATTAATTTTTTATAAAGATTGTGTATCAGATAATAGAATGCGAGTTCTTATTATTGCGATACTCATCCAATAACATTATATGCATTAATAAAAACCTTGCAATAACTTCTGAATTTACAGTACCATGAAAGTTATCAACAGTTATCTATCAAATACTATTATAGCAATAAAAGATTAAGCATATCTACTCCTTTTAAACTATAATCTGAAATAAACTATATCATTGGACGTACTTTGTACTGTATGTTTGTTCTATTTTGAATTTTGTGTCTCTTTCAGCAATATAAGAAACATTCATTTTACAGGGTTTTTAATTATGCATATATGCTTCCTTCTTTTGGAAACAAGTGTGAAGCAATGTAAACTTTCACCAAAGATTTTCAATCACACTGACAGCATGGATTGACTATACATATATTGAATGGCAGTAGATATTATAGTGTTAAACCAATAATTGAGTTTTGTTAGACTCATTCATGGTAATTTGTAGACATGTCCAATTTGTACTTTCCAAAAACTATTGCTTAATGTTTCTGTTTTGAAAACTATGCTTAAACTAAAAAAAATTCAAGAATGTTGGACATCTCTACAATTTCAAAAGTAATAAGTATAAATACACAGTATACCACAATTTAGTGTGTTTATATATTTGTTTTTTGCCTTGTTGGTGTTGCAAATTTAGAAGTGAAATCATATTCCATTAATGGTCACATAAACAACTTCAGTCATTAATTAGGTTGTGTCTACTCAGTGTCCTTGTAAATTACATGTTGACCAATCAGAGCAATCAGAAAAGGAACATTCCCATAAGGCAACATGCTTTCTGAATTGGTGCATCACGGTATGGATGCTTTTCTTAATCATTATAGATTTGGTTGGCGAAATTTGGCCTTTACATAGCAGATGTATTTTTTGTATGCTACTAAGTTATGATATGGTCTTTTATCAAAATTTAAACATCAATTGAAATCAATGTGCATATTTGAAAATTCTGCATGATTTACTGTTAATTAAATGCAAATTTTTAGTAAGAAACTTACCTGTGTCAATGTACAATTATAAGTACATTTACTATCACACCACTGACAGGTACAATCACCATGGGAACTAAGACAAGTGGATGTACAAGTTCTACAGTCTTTTACATCTTTACAGGAATCATTATGATCTGAAAATATCAACCAAAGTTTAGTCTGAAAATATAAACAAAAGTATGATCTGAAAATATCAATCACAGTATGCTCTGAAATATCAACTAAAGTATGATCTGAAAATATCAACCAAAGTTTGATTTGAAAATATCAACCAAAGTATGATCTGAAAATATCAACCAAAGTACGATCTGAAAATATCAACCAAAGTATGATCTGAAAATATTAACCAAAGTATGATCTGAAAATATCAACCAAAGTAAGATCTGGAAATATCAACCAAAGTATAGTCTGAAAATATCAACAAAAGTATGATCTGAAAATATCAATCACAGTATGATCTGAAATATCAACTAAAGTATGATCTGAAAATATCAACCAAAGTATGATCTAAAAATATCAACCAAAGTTTGATCTGAAAATATCAACCAAAGTATGATCTGAAAATATCAACCAAAGTAAGATCTGAAAATATCAACCAAAGTATATTCTGAAAATATCAACCAAAGTATGATCTGAAAATATTAACCAAAGTAAGATCTGAAAATATCAACCAAAGTAAGATCTGAAAAAATCAACCAAAGTAAGATCTGAAAATATCAACCAAAGTAGGATCTGAAAATATCAACCCAAGTAAGATCTGAAAATATCAACCCAAGTATGATCTGAAAATATCAACCCAAACATGATCTGAAAATATCAACCAAAGTAAGATCTGAAAAAATCAACCAAAGTATGTTCTGAAAATATCAACCCAAGTATGATCTGAAAATATCAACCAAAGTATGATCTGAAAATATCAACCCAAGTAAGATCTGAAAATATCAACCAAAGTAAGATCTGAAAATATCAACCAAAGTAAGATCTGAAAATATCAACCCAAGTAAGATCTGAAAATATCAACCCAAGTATGTTCTGAAAATATCAACCCAAGTAAGATCTGAAAATATCAACAAAAGTATGATCTGAAAATATCAATCACAGTATGATCTGAAATATCAACTAAAGTATGATCTGAAAATATCAACCAAAGTATGATCTAAAAATATCAACCAAAGTTTGATCTGAAAATATCAACCAAAGTATGATCTGAAAATATCAACCAAAGTAAGATCTGAAAATATCAACCAAAGTATATTCTGAAAATATCAACCAAAGTATGATCTGAAAATATTAACCAAAGTAAGATCTGAAAATATCAACCAAAGTAAGATCTGAAAAAATCAACCAAAGTAAGATCTGAAAATATCAACCAAAGTAGGATCTGAAAATATCAACCCAAGTAAGATCTGAAAATATCAACCCAAGTATGATCTGAAAATATCAACCCAAACATGATCTGAAAATATCAACCAAAGTAAGATCTGAAAAAATCAACCAAAGTATGTTCTGAAAATATCAACCCAAGTATGATCTGAAAATATCAACCAAAGTATGATCTGAAAATATCAACCCAAGTAAGATCTGAAAATATCAACCAAAGTATGATCTGAAAATATCAACCAAAGTAAGATCTGAAAATATCAACCAAAGTAAGATCTGAAAATATCAACCCAAGTAAGATCTGAAAATATCAACCCAAGTATGTTCTGAAAATATCAACCCAAGTAAGATCTGATAATATCAACCAAAGTAAGATCTGAAAATATCAACCAAAGTAAGATCTGAAAAAATCAACCCAAGTATGATCTGAAAATATCAACCAAAGTAAGATCTGAAAATATCAACCAAAGTAGGTCTGAAAATATCAACCAAAGTATGATTTGAAAATATAAACCCAAGTATGATCTGAAAATATCAATCCAAGTAAGATCTGAAAATATCAACCAAAGTATGATCTGAAATATCAACCAAAGTAAGATCTGAAAATATCAACCAAAGTATGCTCTGAAATATCAACCAAAGTATGATCTGAAAATATCAACAAAAGTATGATCTGAAATATCAACCAAAGTAAGATCTGAAAATATCAACCAAAGTATGCTCTGAAATATCAACCAAAGTATGATCTGAAAATATCAACAAAAGTATGATCTGAAAATATCATCTAAAGTATGATCTGAAATATCAACCAAAGTATGCTCTGAAAATACCAACCAAAGTATGCTCTGAAATATCAACCAAAGTATGATCTGAAAATATCAACCAAAGTATAATCTAAAATAATCAACCAAATATGATCTGAAAATATCTACCAGAGTTTGATCTGAAATTATCTACCTGAGTTTGATCTGAAATTATCTACCAGGGTTTGATCTGAAATTATCAACCAAAGTATGATCTGAAAATCTCAACCAACATATAATCTGAAAATATCAACCAAAGCTTGATCCCAACCAAAGTTTGATATGAAAAAGTCAACCAAAGGACAGTCTGACAATATCAACCAAAGAACAGTCTGAAAATATCAACCAAAGTATGAAGTGAAAATGTTTACCAACGTGTGATCTGAAAATATCAACTACTGATCTCATATACAATGAAAAGCAAATCTGATTTTGTTAAATCCAACTTTTAATTTAAGCAAAACAATTCATAAAAGATGTATTGACCAGATTAATCTGATCTTTTTTAAATTTCTTCTTTTTCTCTTTACACAAGAAGCTATACTTGATAATTTTCTTCCTAGTGAATCAATTTAAAGGGTAAAGTTGCCTTAATCCATTTGCTTCACATCAGGCATTTTGATTTTAATAGCTACAAACATTATCAGAAACTTATTCTGTTAGAATTTCAATAAAACTAACCACAACATTTTTTTGTAAATGTATGATTTATAGTATAAATAGTGAATTAAAGCATAATTTTAACATTTCCTAATAGTTGATTATTGTACCTGATGTTGATGAACAGGATCTGTTTGTAGGAACAGTGCCCAGGACATCCTTTGATATACAAGTCTGACTATCTGTCCATACACAGATTGATCCCTGAGTAGAATTAGTACAGAACTCTGGATCAGTGTAGTTACAGTCACCTACAAATATCATAAAAGTGTAATCAAAATATCCAACTAAAGAATTTAGTTTCACTTGAATCATATCCAAACCATCCTCACCATTCAGCTATTAGAATAGTCATACATTGGAGTATCCTAAGTGTATAATGTGTCCATAAAATAATAAAAGATAGATAATTATAAGTGCTACTTGATAAATTGGATTTCAAGCTTTAGTTATTACAATATTTTTACTTGAATCAGATGATTTAACTATGGGAACTCTGTTCTGTCATCCCTATGGTAAATTGATGTTCAATGTTCACTTTCTTCTTTACATTAAATCACATTTTACATTTTATGTTTAAGTTGTTTCATTCAAAAGTTATATATAATTTACCTTACTTGGAATATACTGAAATTTAACAAACTTGCTAAATCACCTGAGTTTGTTTTACACAGTCTTCAATGTGTTATGTACGAGCACTTTAAATCCAGAAGTTTACAATAATTTGATAATTATTTGTCTTCTTTGACAACTTTATGGTTTTACCACATTAAATAAAGATACATGTATGAATGAAAACAACAGTTTATTTCTTGTAAAAATATTGATACTTAAGGAAATGGCCATTATTTGGAGTTTGACCTCAGATTCCGTAGAAAAATAGGTGACTGCTGATTAAGTTAGAGAGGTGACTGCTTAAACGACTTAAAATAAAATGCTCTGCTGGGGCGCAGCTTGATACGACCGCAGAGGTCGAACCCTGAACAGTTTGGGCAAGTATGGACACAACATTCAAGATTGATATAGCACTGAATTTGGATTGTAATTAAATATTTGACACAGCATAGGTTTCTGACACAGAATGAATGTGGTCTAAGAACTTAAAAAAAAAAAATTATTTTACCTATTCAAACCATATCATTATTATTTGCTTTTATATATAAATCAGAAATAACCAATTTAAAATGGAAAATTTTAAAGAAGAAAAAAGAAAAAAAAATCCCCCCCCCCCCCATTTTTTGAACCCCCTTATGATTCATCACCCCCAAACTCAATCCCAGCCTTCCCTTTGTGGTATGGTACCTTGCAGTACAATTTCAGAGAGATCCATACACTTGAACACAAGTTATTGTCTGGAAACTAGAAAAATGCTTATTTTTGGCCCCTTTTTGGTCCCTTATTCCTAAACATTTTGGTCAATTACCCCTTTACTCAATTCCAGCTTTCCCTCTGTGATATGGAACCTTGTAGTACAATTTCATAAAGATCAATACACTTACACACAAGTTATTGTCATGAAACTAAAAAAAAGCTTGTTTTCCCCCCCTTTTTGGCCCCTTATTCCTAATATTTGGAGGCAATTACCCCCAAAATCAATCCCAGCTTTCCCTTTGTGATATGGAACCTTGTGGTACAATGTCAGAGAGATCCATACACTTACACACAAGTTATTGTCATGAAACTAGAAAAATGCTTGTTTTTTGCCCCTTTTTTGCCCCTAATTCCTAAAATTTGGAGGCAATTACCCCCAAAATCAATCCAAGCATTCCCTTTGTGATATGGAACCTTGTGGTACAATGTCAGAGAGATCCATACACTAACACACAAGTTATGTCTGGAAGTTACAAAAATGCTTATTTTTGGCCCCTTTTTGGCCCTTAATTTCTTAACTGTTGGTACCATAACCCCCAAAATCAATCCCCACCTTCCTTTTGTGGTATTGAACCTTATGGTAAAATTTCATAGCGATCCATTCACTTAAACTAAAGTCAGAGTGCGAAAACCAATGTGTCTTCGGACGACGATGACGCCAACGTCATACCAATATACGACCACAAAAATTTTTTGCGGTCGTATAAAAATATAGGGAAACATTTGGACAGGTTTCATGTCTGTAAAACGACAGTGACCTCTAATTTTAGGTGACTGTCTGGGCAGGTTTTAGTGTTTCTCAAATTACAATTGTATAATTTTTATTTGCAATATTTTTAAATACTTGACTGGACAACTGCTTCTGTTTCAAAACAAATTTTCAATGTATTTTACATTGAAGTTCCTTAAGAACTTACCTGGACTAAACAACATAACGTTGTCTTACATCATTCCATTAAAATACCTTTTGATCTTACCTGGACTAAACAACATAACGTTGTCTTGCATCATTCCATTAAAATACCTTTTGATCTTACCTGGACTAAACAACATAACGTTGTCTTGCATCATTCCATTAAAATACCTTTCGATCTTACCTGGACTAAACAACATAACGTTGTCTTGCATCATTCCATTAAAATACCTTTCAATCTTACCTGGACTAAACAACATAACGTTGTCTTGCATCATTCCATTAAAATACCTTTCGATCTTACCTGGACTAAACAACATAACGTTGTCTTGCATCATTCCATTAAAATACCTTTTGATCTTACCTGGACTAAACAACATAACGTTGTCTTGCATCATTCCATTAAAATACCTTTCGATCTTACCTGGACTAAACAACATAACGTTGTCTTGCATCATTCCATTAAAATACCTTTCGATCTTACCTGGACTAAACAACATTACGTTATCTTGCATCATTCCATTAAATCCACCAATTATATACATCTGATGTTGTCCATTTCTACAGTGTGAATAAAGATTTGATAATAATAAAATTCATCAAAAAGTGGTTTGAACACTGACTAAAAGCCATCAATTTAATGAACTTTTTGAACTAATGATAAATGTAATTCATACAGTTTAATCTTTAATGTATATAATAACCCAATTAATTTGTACCAAATGGACAATGTTGCACAAGCTTAGGAATATTCTCATATTAACATACAGTATCAACATTACAACCAAGTTAATGGATCTGTTTACCATTTTGTACTTCCAACAGGCTTTTATTAAAATGAAAAAAAGCATTTTCAAGAAGTTGCTCTGTATATGGTCTTTTGACCATGAAACAGCTCCTGTTCGAGTTTCATAAGATTCCATGAATGCTTGACAGTTAATGATGTCTCGAACACTTTTAAACCATGACTAAGTAAAAGTTGACTGCAAAGTTAAGTAAAATAGGTAAAAAGAGTGCACAGCCTGAAATGTCTTGCCTGCTTTAATAACCATGATTGATTTTATGTTTAAAGTCTAAAAGATGAAGATTTTACTACAAGTATCACATAAACTTAATATTACCACTGATCCCTGATAATGAGGTCAAGGTCAGATAAACCCTGCCATACAGATATGTTTACCTTACAATCCATAAAATATAGTTGACCTATTGCTTTTATATCCAAGAAACAGAACAAACCATGAAAATTTAACATTCACCAATGAACCATAAAACTGAAGTCAAGGTCTGATGATTGCTTGCCAGAGAGTAATGTACACCTTACAATCATTCCATGCACCATATATAGTTGGCCTATTGCATCTAAGAAACAGATTTAACCAAGAAAGCTTATGTGATTAATGAACCATGAAAGTGAGGTCAGCTAACAATCATTCAATACACTAAATAAAGTCGACCTACTTATAGTACCTAAAACACACACCAAAACACAAAATCTTAACATTGACCAATGAACCATGAAAATTATGTCAAGGTCAGATGAATCCTACCAGTCTGACATGTACACCTTAAAATCATTAAATACACTATATATACTGCTTGTAGCATCTCAGAAATGGACCTAATCACCTAATTTTAACTTTGATCACTGAACCATGAAATGAGGTCCAGGTCAGGTAAAACCAGTCTGAATGAAACATGAACATAAGACATCTGTATAAAAGGTATGAAGCATCCATGTCTTAAACTATTTGAAACAAGAAATGATTGTAACAGGATGCTGTTACGAAGTCTCCCAAACGAAGCTCCCATAATTCGTAATTCCCAGGGTCGCCTGACATTGGACAAAGTCCAGTGAAGTTATATGCATTAGTGATGCCTGGGGACTAACCCTGAATATCATTCAAATCATCTTGGCATGACAAACCAGAATATATATGGTTTAGGGGTGGAAATCTTGACCATTTACAAGAGACTAGAACATTGGGGGTGGGGGGAACCCCTGGGGACTGACCGTATACGTCATTCAAATGTTCGAGACATGATGAACAGGAATATATATGGTTTAGGGGTGGGGATCTCTACCATTTACAAGATATTAGAACTTTCTCAAATGGCAGGGGATCAGGATGACCCCTGGGGACTAACCCTGTATATCATTCAAACCATCTTGGTATGACAAACCAGAATATATATGGTTTAGGGGTGGGGATCTTGACCACTTATAAGATATTAGAACTTTCTTAAATGGCAGGGGGTGGGGGTGACCCCTGGGGACTAACCCTGTATTTCATTTGATGTGCTTTATCATGACAAACCAGAAAATATATGGTTTAGGGGTAGGGATCTCGACCATTTACAAGATATGAGAACTTTCTCAAATGGCAGGGGGTCGGGATGACCCCTGGGGACTAACCCTGTATATCATTCAAACCATCTTCGTATGACAAACCAGAATATATATGGTTTAGGGGTGGGGATCCCCATAATTCGTAATTCCCAGGGTTGCCAAACATTGGACAAAGTCCAGTAAAGTTATATGCATAAGTGATGCCTGGGGACTAACCCTGTATATCATTCAAATCATCTTGGCATGACAAACCAGAATATATAAGGTTTAGGGGTGGGGATCTCGACCATTTACAAGATATTAGAATTTTCTCAAATGGCAGGGGGTCGGGATGACCCCTGGGGACTAACCCTGTATATCATTCAAACCATCTTAGCATGACAAACCAGAATATATATGGTTTAGGGGTGGGGATCTCGACCATTTACAAGATATTAGAATTTTCTCAAATGGCAGGGGGTCGGGATGACCCCTGGGGACTAACCCTGTATATCATTCAAACCATCTTAGCATGACAAACCAGAATATATATGGTTTATGGGTGGGGATCTCGACCATTTACAAGATATAAGAACTTTCTTAAATGGCAGGGGGTGGGGGTGACCCCTGGGGACTAACCCTGTATTTCATTTAATGTGCTTTATCATTTAGAACATTTTCAATTAAAAAGATTGTGTCTATCACAAACGGTTTTCAATTTAGAATCATTTGAAAATTTTAAAAAATAAAATCCCATAGCGTTCTATAGTAAAACCATCCTTTCTTTTTGCCCCTCAAAGTACCCCTTTATAAACCCCATTGCACAAACAAAACCCTGATTGCACCACTTGACATGTTAGTCTAACATATTGTGAAACCCTTAGTTAATCTGACAAGCGGTTTTGGAGAACGGGTGCGGACAAGTTCAAATTTAAAAGCGGCGGAAGAGGAGGAAGAAGAAGAAGAAGAAAAATAATAAGAACTGAGCAAAACCAATAAGTCTTCCCAAACTTCGTTTGGGAGACTTAATAAAAAGCTTAATACAAATAATTTACTCTGCCAGTGCCGGATTGTAATCCCTATGCCTTGCATTCTACTACTTTCATTGAAAGCGAACAAAAAAAAAAATTTGTTGCTTTGCATACTGTCTTTTGATAATAAAATAGCTTCTATCTAAGTTTCAAAAATTTCAATGAAGGTTTGACAACATTATTGATGCCTAAATAAAAAATTTAACCACAGACTGAACTTTAATAAAATTATTCTAGCCTTTTCAATAGTCGTCTGGCGCGAAAAGGCTGATAACTCAATTTTAGAATTTAATATTTTCGGAGACGGTCAATTTCCGGAATTGCATGCTTTATCATCACCATTTTTTCTTTAGCCATCGATGACGACACTATTGCTGCATTCTTTAACAATAAGGTATATTTAACAAGACCGTATTATCAATGTAGTATCGTGGTATCAACATATGTTAGCAATGTTAGATACCTGAATTAATTGTTATTTTGGCAAGGACAATTCATCACTTCCCCTGAAAACATGATTTTGTACAAGTTCACATTTCGGCATCTCCGGGCGGCAAAGCAGATCATATTCCTGATTATTTTTACTAGGGCATTCTGATTTTTATTAATTGCTACATATTACCGCTTTTTTTAAATCAATTTTTGTTTACATTATCAACAAATAAGAGTAACATACTAGGTCGAGTTGTCGTTCGTAGTGTATAGTTTGTTCCAAAAACAGTGTTTGTTTCTGGTACAGTTTGGCAGTTGTTTATTAACAATAAAGTTGTCTTTACTAAAAAACATGTTAGCTTCAGTGTGTTTTTTTTTAATTAGTAATTGTTTACAAAAACAAATTGTTTCTAAATACATTTGGCAGACAGGATTATAGGTAATTGTTATTTCCCTTGTTTAAAAATATAAATTGCGTGTTTCTATATTTAACGATTTACATGATACTTCTTCAGTACATATTTGTTAAATTGAATAGATATTGCTATTTTGAATTCATTAAAGATATTTATTTATGTTCTAAAGTTTAGTAATGTTCTAAAGTTGCTAATAATTTATAACCTTCGTTGAGAGACTTAATCATTTTATATAAGTGGTTTGGAATTATATTGTTAGATTAAATTATTGAACTGCACTAAAATCTCCCTATGAGGTTAGTGCATTGTACTTATTGAATAAATTATATATTGTTTTCATTGTTTTTTGGGTTTTTCTTTTAATTAGATAGCGCTTTTATATAAGGCATCCATCGTCTTCTTATATATCAGTTCACAAACTAGAACAAGCTGTGGTCCCCATCCCCTGCAGAATTGCTCCTGCTACATACATGACCCCACCCCCTTTTCTTTTATGGCTTTCAGTGAGGGTGGACAGGGGCATTGATTCCCTCCTGCAAACTCCTACTTCACTCCATATTCTGTTCCTCTGCAGTCCTATTTTTTCGTCAAGCATGAATTATCCCTGTTTTAACAACCCTTTCCTCACGCTTAACATCACCCTGCCTCCAGCTTCCATCCACCCAATTCCCATTTCCAGCCCTCTCATTCCAGAGTTCCCATAATTCTGTCCACCCCCTTATGAGTGTCACAATGACTCGCACCCATTACCAACCCATCGTTAGGCCACAAATTATATTATAGTACCTGATTTGTTTCCTGTATGCAAAAATTACGAGTCATGACTTTTGATTTACATGTAATAACGGCCAGAACAATACAAAATATCTCTTCACAATTTTTTTGTCAAAATAATAAAAATGTACTCTTTCAATAAATATTCTTGCAATAAATTCATAGTCACTTAAAAAAATTTCTATAGCATAAATTGAAAAAGAATCAGACTTTCATACACTCAATTGAATTTTGAATGTTTCAATGTCTTAAACTGTCATTCTTACCTATTTTTTTTATTGCGCCCTTATTACCCTATAATGAATCTTTTTAAAAAAATCAACAAATATTACATAGCAAATCAATATTAATGGGTTTTTTTATTAATGTTTACTTTGCGTGAGGAACTAATTATAAAACATGGGTAAGCAAAATAAATACCTAGAAGATGTTTTAAAAAATAGACTATAGTTGATGAGATACTCCTCATGTAACAAGATTTATCTCTCCTGTGATTAAAACACATTGAGATTGAGATTGAATTGTCTCCCTTTGATAACAGCCAGTACCAAAGCACAATTATTTCTTTTGTGATTTTTTATTGGTTAACAATAGTTATATAAAAGAAAAAGGATAATACTTTCAATTTCGAGGTCTCACAAAAGCAGTTTTATCTGTTATTATAATTTTACATTAAAAACCCAAATTTAGATGAAAAGGCTAATATAACCATCGGCAAGATAATCGGTTAATACATTAGTTAGCAATTGAGATACACTGAAATATCTAAAGAGATTGAACTATTATTTCATCACAGAGACAAGTGTATTGCGTGGCAAGATTAACTTTTTATGAGAAATCTGATGTTAATACCTTTTGTATACAGCTGCTGTATGACCATACCTGGCTCCATTACCAGGAAGTCCTGTCACATCTACCTCTAACCACTTGTTACATTCTAGAAAACATTTTCATATATCTATATTACATTTTGTTCAACATGATGTTGTTATATCTCATTTAAAACAATTAATGAAAGAATATAATACAAAATGTGTGGCTAACCTCATTTAAAGCATAAATATGAAAGAATAAAATGAAAGGTCCGTTTTCTATAGCGAAATCATATGGGTTTAGCTATTGTTCTAATCACAGCAGTATACAGCCAATAATAATTGTGAAAGCAACTTATTGACATAAATAGCTTTATATGTCAACTTTCATTCAATTCGAATATTACACTACAGTTGACATTAAGGAATTTTTGAAAAGTTTTTGTTAATTTTTTCCTGTAATAGTGATTCTGTTTTTACAAACTTGTTTAGTTTAAAGGCAATTTTCAGAAAAATTCAGTGTTTATACAATGATATGGTGACAAACAAACATGTCTGGTTTTATATTATCTGTAATAAAATGTAGGATCACAATTGTACAGGAAAGCCTGGGAAAATAAAAGAAGAATGTGTCTGAGGACACGATTGCCCCCACTCAAGCTTCAAACAAACAAAAATGGGACAGAAAAACGGAAAGACGGACGGTCAAGGGTAACACTTAATGCCCCTGACGCTCATGGTGGGGGCATAAAAAATTATTTTGTTACATAAAAAGGTGCAGACATAAAAACATTAAATCCATGTTGCATTTACCTGTATCATATGCTAAAAAGTCTAAAGAGTAACATTTAGCTCCGAGACTGATTGACGTGTCGTTATGTGTATTACCACCAAACACTAACATCAATCCACCAATCAATACAGCTGAATGTAAGTATCTCGGTCTTTCATTTCTCGGTAAAGTTTTCCTGCAAATATTGATACATTAACCATAAGGTTATCTCAAATGTGTCTTAAATCTTGGATTCATTTAATTTTCTCTGTCTATTTATTTACATAAAGTCTTTTAAGAATTATAAGATATATCTTTATTTAGTAACTAACTAATATATGATTTTAGTTGGAAAATCATATCTAAAACCTCTAACATAAAGAAAATGTTTCCATATAATCTTTCAATATCCTCAAAAGATGGCTATTAAAAGTCATTATTTGGAGTATCCTAAATGTATAATATTTCCATAAAATAATCATTTATAAAAGATAGGTAATTATAAGTGCTACTTGATACATTGAAATTCAAGCTTTAGTTATTACAATATTCACTGAAGTTGCAAAAATAGAAAAAATCTTCCACTTTTTTTACTTATTTATGATTAGGATTGTAAAGTCAGGTTACTATAATAAATGTGCTATCACTCTGATAATTCCAATATACTACTATTAATATCTGACACACTAGTTCTGGTAAACCTCTAAAGGAGTTACTCTGTGACTATGTGATTTTCCAATTCAAAGGACCAAATATAGGCCTTATCTTTTGAGCATAGGTTGGCATGATCTACACATCCACTTGACATGATGCCACTTTTGTCCTTGCATCCTGTGAAACTTTTCATAAAATATCTTACAACTAAAAATTGTCGAAAGTTATTCTGAAATGTTTATGACTTACAAGTATTTTTACATGTACCATTTCATATGAAAATAGCTGCTTGGCTTTTTTTTACAAATCACATTGTTTATTATTGCATTGGTGTCCTGAATACTTACCAGAATCTTGTGCTGATATCAAAGCTATATAGTTTATCACTCAGTTGGTCACTAGACGTATCTCCGGCATGGTATCCCCCATATACATAGATCAACTTGGATTGTGGATCATATACACTGGAATGACCAAATCCACCTTCCACAACAGAACCAAATGTCCTTGGAACAATCCATGTATCATTACCTGTTAAAACACAAGTTAAGACTGTCAGAATCATTTGACCATAAAAAAAAAGGTACATCAATCATAAGGTAACACCACTGTTCCAGGTTAGAGTTGAGTGCTAACAAACATGTTTAACTCCGCCACATTCTATATGTGCCTGTCCCAAGTCAGGAGCCTGTAGTTCAGTGGTTGTTGTTGGTTCATGTCTGTCATATTTGTTTTTCGTTAATTGTTTTGTTATAGATTAGGCAGTTAATTTTCTCAATTAAATGGTTTCATATTTTTCATGTCGGGGCCTTTTATAGCTGACTATACAATATGGGTTTTTCTCATTGTTGAAGGCTGTATGGTTGCCTATAAATGCTTTAATCCACTTTATTTGAACTTTGGTGGATAGTTGTCTCATTGGCAATCATACCTCATCTCCTTTTTTTATAAGCATAAGTCATATTTATACCAATTTATTAAAATGACTTTACAATACTTTACAAAGAAAACATTTTTCATTGCCTTGAGACAGTAAGCTGCTTTCTGAGAAGTTTTAGATTCTCTCTCCTGGATTTCTGTTTCCACTCAAGTTTACCTCCTTTTTTTTGGCATTTGAGAATGGTACATTGTAAATATCCAAGCTAATCCACATCATTTAGCTTTGTTCATGCATTATTATGTAGAACTTTTTTTTAGAAACAGGGGAGATCAATAACAAATAAGACAAATAAAAAGTTGGAGTTTTGTGTAATTTGTTGTTGTGACTATGAACTGAAGTAATGTAAGTTAATCTAATGGGTTCATTAATCTTTGGATCGTCATCAAATGCTATAGATTAAGATGCATTGACTATACCATGGATAAAAATGTTTACTGATGCGTTTTCCTCTGATTTGTATAATTATAAAGATGCTATAAAATATGAGGCACATTTATTATAAGATCCTTTTGATTGTTCCTCAGTTGCCCAGGAGACATTGGTTTCCACCAATACTACCATTATATTTTCCAATTATCCCACAGTGATAATAAATAAACAATTCGATGGTTTACTTTACCTATAAAATATTCCTGTATTCTGTTTTTGTATCCATATATAGGACTATAACCAAACAATATATACATGACACCATTGATAACATGTGCTGTATGTGAAGCCACAGCTACTGGAGGGGTCGAATTGTAATTCTTTATTGTCCATAAGTTACTTGATAGGTCATATACCCATAATTCTTTTGTTGTGTCCTTGTCAACAACTCCACCAAACATGTATAGACTCCCCTGAAAAATAGATACCAATAAAATATGTAGGATAAAAATCATTGAGACAGCAACCCAATGACAGAGGTTTAACAAAATATCCTCATACAATTAATTTAAAAACTTTCAAAGCTAAAAGTTCAGTTTTGAATTAACACACAAATATATTACACTTGCAATAATTCTTAATTCTTTTTCTTATTAGATGTTTGTTTGAAGAACTTCTTGGTAATTCTATGTATCACTGCTCCTCTCTTGTTATGTGTACCAATCAAATTTTAATTATTATATTCTTTGTCCTGGAATGGTACATTGATATAAAACTTCTTCAATTCTTTTTTAGAGTTTAAGGAAAGTCAATAGTCTCTTAGTACTATGACAGGGGTAAATACATTTCAAGATCTCTTCGCTCAGTATGGTGAGCCCTACTGTCAATGTTCCAATAGCTGGCAGTACAACTTTATTTTGTTGCCGATATAACTAATAGACCCTACTGTCAATGCTCCAATAGCTGGCAGTACAACTTTATGTTGTTGCCAATATAACTATAAGACCCTACTCTCAATGCTCCAATAGCTGGCAGTACAACTTTATTGTTGTTGCCAATATAACTATAAAACCCTTCTCTCAATGCTCCAATAGCTGGCAGTACAATTTTATTGTTGTTGCCAATATAACTATAAAACCCTTCTCTCAATGCTCCAATAGCTGGCAGTACAATTTTATTGTTGTTGCCAATATAACTATAAAACCCTTCTCTCAATGCTCCAATAGCTGGCAGTACAACTTTATTGTTGTTGCCAATATAACTACAAGACCCTACTCTTTATGCTCTAATAGCTGGCAGTACAACTTGATTGTTGTTGCCAATATAACTATAAAACCCTTCTCTCAATGCTCCAATAGTTGGCAGTACAATTTTATTGTTGTTGCCAATATAACTATAAGACCCTACTCTCAATGATCCAATAGCTGGCAGTACAACTTCATTTTGTTGCCAATATAACTATAAGAGAAATTTTCTATGTGAAAGGGGAATTACTGGAAGATATTCATTTCGACAATTAGCAGGAGATATTTGATGACAAACTAAAGATATTAACCTATTGAGCAAGATCAAGACTGTTTCCAGTTTAAAAGCAATGGTAAAAGTCAAACTGTGAAAATTCAAAGAGTAATTTTCTTCAAGAAATTAAACCATGTAGAAAGAGGGAGGGGTCCAAGCAAACTTAATCAACCATTAGACCTACTCCGATAGACATGATAGATGGCAGACAGAAAACAATATATACCATAACATGTTCTGTATTTGTATAAAATCACCAATATATTGAATACCTGATATTCTAATAGTGTGTGTCCATATCTACTTTCAGGATTGTTTGTTGACTGAGGCATAACGGTATCCCAGCTATCAGTATTAAAGTCATACCTGAAATAATTTAATACTTAAGTACAAAACAAACTAAATCAACAATTTCAAAAGATGATCCTTTTATGTGTTTTATAAATTAAATGCAGTTTCAAAAGAGATCCATGTCATTTAATATTAAAAAGACCAACAGGAAATTTCCCCCTAGTTCGTGTTATTTACTCAACTCTGATCACTGTTTTGTCATAGTCATTATTGGTCATAACTTTTAATTATGCATACTAAATTTGTCCTAACCAAATTTCTTTCAAGCAGTCAATTTGATTTAGAGTTAAACAGGAGTATTTTCAAAAAATTGTTTATCTGTCTTTTAAAGCTAAACAATACTAATAATTGAATAGTTTTTCTATAGTAAAGAAATCGAAAACTGATGTATTGAGCCAAAGTCTAACAGGGATATCCATGGATGAAAATTTAACGATGGAGGAACTTTCACCATGAAAAAAACCTCCGTCTACGGCATGTCGTGATGGAAAGTATTTCATTCCTCCATTTCTATGAAAGGAATTGTGAACAGACAGATATATTCCTTATTAAATTTATTTCATAATAGCATAACCAATATTTTCATTAATTGTCATTTGTAACAATTCCAATGTCAAGCCTGCATGGCTCCCCCTTAGTCAAGAATGACCACAAGCTGTCCTTAAGGTTCCAAAGTCATTTTCTTGCTATTTTGGTATTTGTTTAGGACTTAATAAATTGCTTTGCCAAGCGCAGCTGGATATAAATACAGAGGTCCAACCCTGAACAGTTGGGGCAAAAATGGACACAATATTCGCGCTTGATACAGGTCTGAATTTGGATTGTAATAAAATATTTGACACATAATAGGTTTCTGACACAGAATAACTGTAGTCAAAGAACTTTGAATTGGTTATATGATTTAAATTTATATTCAATTTTTTGCTTTTGTGTAATACACTTTGCTGTTGCGAATTGACCCCCCCCTCCCCCCAATAAAAAAATAAAAAATTTACCCCTCTGTTTTTTTTGCTTTTGTGCAATAAACTATGCTGTTGTGTATTGGAAACTTGTGGTATAATTTCAGAGAGCTCCATACACCGTTCCACAATTTATTGTCTGGAAACTAGAAAAATTCGTAAGGGTTCCGCGGAACCCAGTGTCTCGCCTACTTTTTCTGTTAATCGCAGGCTCAACAAAAATGAGGAAGTAAATCAATAAAAATATTCCGCTTGATACTATCTTTTGATTGTAAGAAGCTTCTGTCCAAGTTTGGTAAAAATCCCGGATAGATTATGAATCTAATAAATGTTTAAAAACTTTAACTGCAGACTGAATATAATGTTAACTGGAAGAAAACAAAATTTCCTTCTAGATACTAGCATTTGATCATAAACAAGCTTCTGTCCAAGTTTAGTACAAATCCAAAATAGTATAAGAAAGTTATTAAAATTTTAAAAACTTTAACCACAGAGTGAATGTGTTGTTTCCTGGCAGAAAATCTAAGTCCATTTAAAAGTAAAATACGGAAAAAATGGATTTATTTTTTTACAAAATTTCCTTCTAGATACTAGCTTTTGATCATAAACAAGCTTCTGTCCAAGTTTGGTACAAATCCAAAATAGTATAAGAAAGTTATTAAAATTTTAAAAACTTTAACCACAGAGTGAATGTGTTGTTTCCTGGCAGAAAATCTAAGTCCATTTAAAATTAAAATAAGGAAAAAATGGATTTTTTTTTTTTTACAAAATTTACTTCTGGATACTATCTTGTGATCATAAACAAGCTTCTGTTCAAGTTTGGTAGAAACCCAGGATAGTTTAAGAAAGTTATTAAAATTTTAAAAACTTTAACCACAGAGTGAATGTAATATTTCTCGGCAGAAAAACTAAGTCCATTTATAAGTAAAATACGGAAAAAATGGAATTTTATTTTTACAAAATTTACTTCTGGATACTATCTTATGATCATAAACAAGCTTCTGTCCAAGTTTGGTAGAAATCCAGGATAGTTTAAGAAAGTTATTAAAATTTCAAAAACTTTAACCACAGAGTGAATATTTGTGGACGCCGACGACGACGACGCCGACGGAATGTAGGATCGCTATGTCTCGCTTTTTCGACAAAAGTCGAAGGCTCGACAAAAATGCTTATTTTGGCCCCTACGAAATGAATTTGGAATTATGATACGAAATTTCTTCAGATTATCAAGTTGTAGTTAATGTTCATGTATTTACTTTTAAACTTGTAAATTGATTGATTCAATATAATCAATAATTGTTGTACTTGTGTCATTTGGCATAAAATTATGTTCTGTTTTACGTCTTATTTTGTAAAAAGGGGGATGCTGATTGCGTAAGTCAATATTAAAGGATGTGTTTGACTTGTTAAACCATTTTCTTTGTAACTGGATTTAAAATTTATTTTTAAACTAAATTTTCGTTAGCATTTGCTGAAACGTAATTAAATAATGCAATCAATTGTCTAGCTTGATCAAGTGTTCTCCTGTCAGGTGTGTTGATCTACCTGTACAAGTGATTAGCGATCTTAAGCCGGATATCCCTCAGGGCTTTAAAACTGTAACCAGGAGGACCCTTTGGACTATAATACAATATAATACAATAAGGGTTATGCAATTACATGCAACTGATTATAATTGCTAACAAAAATGGCGACAGCTAGCGAGGATCATTTGACGATGGCGGAAGATATTTCAACAATGGCAGTGTGCCATCATAAAACAGGTCATGGAGATCCTCCCTGGTCTAATGTTAGTAGCAAAAATATTATATAAATCAAATAGAATAAAAATAAATGTTTTTCCTGTTTTAAAAGTAATATTTAAAACATTTAACAAATATATCAAATGAAATATAATGAATGATTGTTTTTAATAATAGACAATTGTTTTGTTTTATTGGCCAACACTATAAAGTACTGATTCCAAAGAGATCATACATTTGTCAGATACAAGTAAATCTAAGGCAAGATAACATCAATAAACATGCTTTCCTTGAACAATTGCTGTCATATTAAAAATACCTTGCTAGAAAGGGAAGGTCATTATTGAATGTGTATCCTCCAGTTAAATATAGCTTATCTTGAACTTGTGCCACGGCAGCTGATGCACGGCCACCGACGGTTGCGTTGATATCAAGTATACTCCACACTCCATGATAAGATTTCAGTGAACAATCTGATCCTGTAATAAATTTTTAGTGTTAATGAAAACAAATTAATAGCATAATCAAAGCACCATATGACAAAGTCAGCTGTAATTGCATGGTTGATAGAAAATAGCCACTATAAGTTCACCTTACAAATGTGAACTTATAATGATGAATCTTTAACAACTGATAGTGTTAGATCAATAACAATAATAATTGATGTTTTTGAAACTTGTACATATTGTACTACAAAAAGAGAATGTTGCAATAAAAAAAATAAAAATAATTCGGAGTTTTACTCATAGCAATATTCATCCCCTAATATTTTTCAGTTACCGGTAAATAAAAACATAAGATAAAATTCCTGAATATACATGAGCATTTTATACTCAATGATAATGTATATATTCACAAAATTCTTTCCAGAATGAAAAATATTAAAAAGAAACATTCTATTCATATCATACCTTTCAAAGGTTTCAAATTGCAATTAAAGCATTTTTGCAATAGAAAGCTCTGGATGAGTAAGTTATTTTTTGCTTTGTCATGATGACATAAATACCCAACAAACTTTGAGTAGTTGTACAGGAAAAATATTTGAAGGGATATAATGTAATGTTAATCCTGAAAATCAAAAGTTCCACTACTGCAACCCTTGTTGTGGACACTGTAGGGGTTGAACATTTTTCTGGACAAGTTAAAGTCACCAACAATAAACTTGTCTTACTATCAATCACTCCACACCAGCAAGAGTGACTTTTGACATCTTTGTGTACTCTGTACCTGTGTATTTTGAAATACAGTGTTTTCCCTAGGCTATTCAAGCATTGCGGTACCGCTACGCATAAATTTCGACCGCCATGCTTTCATCATTGCTGCAATGCATCCCGCTATGTGTGAAAATTATAACTGTGTAAAATATTTATTATCAATATTTTGAAAGTGAAGTGATAAGTGACAACACTCCACATGTGTTTTAAACTCATCCGACTGATATTTGGATGCATCACGTTGCGCGTGCCGGGATTTTACAACCTTCTTGATTAGTTGGTTATATATCGAGACTTCAGTTACATGATAGAAGTTGCCAGTTAGCTGATAAATAAATAGTCAGATTAATCTCCAATGCATATCTTTCTGTGCTTAATAAAAAGTTTAACCTTTTCCAGTATAAATTTCACCTTTTAAACAGGTGTTTGACATCGTTATTTTACTGTGATCATTAAAAAGTAGAAATTTAAACTTTGGTATAATCTCTGGCATTATAAAATAAAACTAACGTAATTTCACCGATAATGGACAAAACTTTTGTTTTAATAAAGTTTCGCATTTTTTTCGTCAGCTATATTTACATTGATGAATTATTTTTTGATTGGTCACAACAAGAGAAAAATACGTGTCTTATGAAATATTTAAAAGATTTGATAGAAAAACTTTCAAAACATACGTAGTTATTTACGGAAATATTGTTTTTAATAAACTTGTGTTGTTCTATTTTTATTTCAATGGGTCACATGAAGCTTAAGTGTAGCGGATTCATTTGCCGTTTTTTACACAAGTGGGGCTAAATTTCTTTCATTTCGGCAAGATAGGATTTTTACAACTATGAAGCGTTATAAATAAATCAGACAGGGATGTATTTAAAAAAAATAGTTACAAATTGTCATGAAATAAAATGTCAGCTTAGCTTCCAAACAATGTCATCCGTATGTCAGGTATTCTTCATTGACGAATTCTGTAATTAACGCAAATAAACTTTGTTTTATTGTTTCCTGTAAAATCTCTGTGAAGCAATGATGACATTCAAAGTTTTATTTAACAACTTGCTGTTGATGCTGAAACCATTCTATCAGCAAACTGAGGACACTGTTAGTGAAAGAATGTAAAATGACATTTAGGCAGACAATGAACAAAGTTGCCAGTCTTGGAACTTTGTATCCTTGTCTGTCTAAGTATGCAGCATTTGGTCTTCTTTTGCCAGTTTCAACAGCTGATTGTGAAAGGTGTTTTTCATGCTTAAACAGAGTTAAAACACCTTTGAGAAAAAGACTATGCGAAAAAGTGCTGAGTTGCTTAATGCATATATCAATTGAAGGACCAAAGGAGGAAGATTTTGATTTTGAAAAATGTGTGGTGACCTTTGGAAAGTTGAAACAGAGGAAGATATCAACAAAATAATGTGTACATGGTATTAATTTGTAAATAACTAGTGCAGACTGGATTATTTTTATTATTGTTTATAAAGTCTTTCATTAATTCCTCTCATCTGTAATAAATACTTTAAAGTTCCATGACTTATATGAATTGCTGTACGTATAATAAAACAATTAGATTGATATATGGCTTTAAACATATAAATTATGTAGTGTAACTAATTCTGGAAAAAATTCACCATGGACCCACCATGCATGAAAAATTTTCTAGGGAAGACACTGAAATATACTGTCCATGGGTCAAATCTACATTCTGTATTCCCCTGAACAATTACAAGAAGAGACAACCTACCTATATCCTTGTTATTAGTGGAAAGCCTGAAAAACAGTCTCCAGTAAAACCAGTCAAGCATGAACACTTGTAAAGGGAGACAACCTACCTGTATATCCTGAGAAACATTGACACTGGTTCCCTGTACATTGTCCTTTGTCTGTACAGTTGTTTGGGCAAATGACTGTCTGACAATAGTCTCCAGTAAAACCAGCAAAGCAGTTACACTTGTTATTTATACACTGTCCATTTAGCGAACAATCCTTTTCACAACCACCAGTCCTGTAAAAATACATCATCATCATCTTGTAAGTAAGAGATTGAAACATCATAAAACTTTTTCTAATGCTTGCATCTGTTAAACAAATTACACATACCTATCTTCATGTTTTAATCGCTTAAACAAGTGCAGAGAGCCATCTACCCATCTTCATGTTTTTATCTCATAAACAAGTGCATAGACCCATCTTCATGTTTTTATCTCTTAAACAAGTGCACAGACCTATCTGCATGTTTTTAATAATAATGATGCATTAGACATTATATTTTTGAACTGCCTTATTTACATGTCTGTCCCAAGTCAGGAGTTTGTTAGTGGTTGTCTTCAGTCATAGCTAAATGATTTTTTTTAATAAGGTGTTGATGGCAGACCTTTTATAGTTTAATTAAATCACAAGTTATAAACTGTGGATTCATTTATGTTTGTGGGTACATGTACCACTTTTTGTGGATAAAGAAATAATTGTATTTTCGTTGATATTTGATTTCCTGGTCATACAAAAATCTGCATACAGGTCTATAGAAAATTTGTTTTTCGTTAAATATTTAAATTCGTGGTTTACCTGTCCCCACAAAATCCTTGTGAATTGATATCACACCAATAATTATATGAATCCACAGTAGATATCTGTTTATTGTCAGAGACTGTATATTACCCTCTTTTAAATGTCTTCTGGATAATTTATTTATTGACGTTTACCCCACATCATGCACATAACTATTTTAATCATGTAAATTTTATAAGAAAATGTTGTTATTTTGAACTACATCAGTAAGAGCCCTAAATAATTCTAAAATAAACAACATTTTAGTGCCTGTCTAATTTTCTGCAGAACTTTTAAACAGATAATATATTTAGAGCCTTGCTTTCCCACGTGATATATCTAGTATTCAAAATATGTATAAGCATCTATAACATAAACCTCAGATTTACCTGCTAAGATTTCTGTGTGGGAAAGCTAATTGGATATATAAGTATTAACTACAAATTGCTGGTATAACTATATATTATGGACAGAAAAATCAATATTATATTGAACCATATACAGAGGAATCAGAACATAGGTTATGATAAAACCTTCTCATTATTTATAAACTAAACTCTCTGATTATTGATCTTCACAAGTAAATGGCAGCTACTTCCTGCTAATCTTTATTTGATTTACCTAACTCATAAAATCAAAAAATAATAATAACTTTGGAATCTGACTTTTGGAATTTGACAATTTGACATGAAATTAAATCATATGTCATACCTTATTTGTTTTCACACAATCTGACAGGATGTTGTCACAGAAGAAACAAAATGTATATTATAACAATAATTTCAAATAAAATGCTCCGCTGGGGCGCAGCTTGATACGACGTCAGAGGTCGAACCCTGAACAGTTGGGGCAAGTATGGACACAACATTCAAGCTTGATACAGCACTGAATTTGGATTGTAATTAAATATTTGACACAGCATAGGTTTCTGACACAGAATGAATGTGGTCTAAGACCTTAAATTTTTTTAATTTACCTATTCAAACCATATCATTATTATTTGCTTTTATATATAAATCAGAAATAACCAATTTAAAATGGAAAATTTTAAAGAAAAAAAAATTCCCTCCCCCAAATTTTTTGAACCCCCTTATGATTCATCACCCCCAAACTCAATCCCAGCCTTCCCTTTGTGGTATGGTACCTTGCAGTACAATTTCAGAGAGATCTATACACTTGAACACAAGTTATTGTCTGGAAACTAGAAAAATGCTTGTTTTTAGGCCCCCTTTTGGCCCCAAATTCCTAAACGTTTAGGGCAATTACCCCCAAACTCTAACCCAGCTTTCTCTTTGTGATATGGAACCTCGTAGTACAATTTCATAAAGATCCATACACTTACACACAAGTTATTGTCCTGAAACTAGAAAAATGCTTGTTTTTTGCCTCTTTTTGGCCCCTAATTCCTAAAATTTTGGGGCAATAACCCCCAAAATCAATCCCAGCCTTCCCTTTGTGGTATGGTACCTTGCAGTACAATTTCAGAGAGATCCATACACTTGAACACAAGTTATTGTCTGGAAACTAGAAAAATGCTTATTTTTGGCCCCTTATTCCTAAACGTTTTGGGCAATTACCCCCAAACTCAATTCCAGCTTTCCGTTTGTTGATATGGAACCTTGTAGTACAATTTCAGAAAGATCCATAGACTTACACACAAGTTATTATCATGAAACTAGAAAAATGCTTGTTTTTTGCCCCTTTTTTGGCCCCTAATTCCTAAAATTTTGAGGCAATTACCCCCAATATCAATCCCATCATTCCCTTTGTGATATGGAACCTTGTGGTACAATGTCAGAGAGATCCATACACTAACACACAAGTTATGTCTGGAAGTTACAAAAATGCTTATTTTTGGCCCCTTTTTCCTTAACACCCAAAATCAATCCCAACCTTCCTTTTGTGGTATTGAACTTTATGGTAAAATTTCATAGAGATCCATTCACTTAAACTAAAGTTAGAGTCTTCGACGACGACAACGACGACGCCTACGATGACGACGCCAGCGTCATACCAATATTATCGCAATATACAACAAAATTTTGCGGTCATATAAAACTTTGTTAAAAATTCTTAAATATTAATTTGTAAATGTTCAAAAATATTATCATAACAAGGATTATGTTTAGGAATAATTTCTAATTATACTGTTTTGATAAATGCTTTCCTCACATTGTATTTGTTTTTTTTTCATGCTGTTCCTCAATCATTGTGTTTGGTGTTTTTCATGCTGTTCCTCAATCATTGTGTTTGGTGTTTTTCATGCTGTTCCTCAATCATTGTGTTTGGTGTTTTTCATGTTGTTCTTCAATCATTGTGTTTGGTGTTTTTCATGTTGTTCCTCAATCATTGTGTTTGGTGTTTTTCATGCTGTTCCTCAATCATTGTGTTTGGTGTTTTTCATGCTGTTCTTCACTCATTGTGTTTGGTGTTTTTCATGTTGTTCTTCAATCATTGTGTTTGGTGTTTTTCATCAATCCTTGTTTTGGGGGGTTTTTGGGGATGAACATTCATTGGATGATTCAGACTTTGAAGCAAAACTAAAATGTATGATCTGTTTTTCTGTCTAAAAGTTATGTGTAGGTTTGTTTTGGCCAATGTTTTCAACTCTGACCTATTGCTGCAAGGAAAGTGACATTTATGTCTTGCTTCTATGATTGCAGGCAAGGCAAAAATAATAAATAAAAAAAAAACTGCATGAATTTTAATGATGCCCTTTCATGAACCAAAGATGCTCTTACAATTTAATATCAAAGCGTCTCTTTAAAAATTATCAATGCAAAATATTCTTTTTATAAACAATTGCCTACTGACGAGTCTGAATCTTGTATTGTCACATCTAATATAGTAGGACATAGATTTGAGATATTGACAGTATGAAATCATAGTGTAATATAACAGATTACATAACCAGTAATAAAGATACTATTTGAAAATAAAAAGCCTTGTCATGTTGGGAAAAACAAATTTTCAAATGATATAAAATCATTCTTTATTTGTTCTTGTCATTTTACAAGCAATAAATTACTTGTACAACAAAGAAATCAAGTGATATAAAACAAACAGGGAATGAAATAAAACACCTGAGTTTCTCTTACCTGTATGAAATATTAAAACCAGACATGTTATAAGCTGCATCACTGTAAAAATAGATATAGGCATTCCCTGATGTTGTGGTTATTTCTGGTAAAACATTATCATCTTCATTCTTCTGTCTCAATAAACCACTGAAATAGTAATGTACTGACTCTTGATTTTTATTATATAAGTCATTGTATTGTTTCTATAGTTGAAAACTCCATGGCGTTAGGTATGTTGACCTCTAAAAGTATTTTGGTCATTGGGTTGCTGTCTCATTGAGGTGTACTCCAAATTGGTACTTGTACATATCCTTTTATTCATATGCATATACTAAAAGATCCATTTTTACAAAACTACATCCATCCTATGGCGATTGTACTGAGCATTTCTGAGGAATAATTTTTGTCCTGTCTTATTTGCCGTAAATTTTCATGTGATATTTGGTAAATTTTGAGAATACAATACTTGTACAAACCAGTCTAGGCCAACTTAATTCTAAAGATCAGAAAGATTTTATTGAATAATTTTTGGTTCAATTTTCAAAGAGACAACAACCTGAACAAAGAACAGAAAACAGCCGAAGGCCACCAATGGGTCTTCAACACAGCGAGAAAATCCAGCACCTGGAGGCGGGCTTCAGCTGGCCCCTAAACAAAACTAGGTTGTTCTTGCATTTCAAAGGTTTCAACGTTCTTTGCATTTTTTGGAAAGGGATTTTGTATGCAAAGTTTTGCCAACAGTAGAATATTCTGAAATTCCGTGAGGTCACATTTATTTATACTAGGTTCTCAGATGCAAAGACATACAATTGTGTATGAAATTACAGTAAATATGTAATGCAAAATGTTAATTTAGTAATTATATCCTCTAAGCAAGAATTTGCATTGTGTCTGCTTTCATGGAATAAATCAAGTATGTTGTGTAATCAGTAAGTACCTGGGACTCTTTTTAAAATTTTACACGAGAAAAATTGATCATGAACTAAAGAGTAATTTTTCTTGTAAGTTTTTTTGTGAAATTAATAGCTCTTTGGTATCATTCTATATCCTGTTTGTTCCATAAGCTGTTTAACCCCCCCCCCCCCCCCCCCCCCCCGATATCCATTCCCCCAGGGTCATTAAATGTATACATTACGAATGGTAATGTGGTGAAATGTAGATAGAGATAGGATTAATCAAGCAAATGAAGGACTTGATCATGCTAGAAACTTGAACATTTACTATTGTATTACATTTTAATTTGCTAACAGACACCCTCTGTAGCTTTATTGGGTTGAAAAAATCACCTAATAGTCGAACATGTTGAAATGATCAACCTTGATTTTTCCTAGCTGTGCAGACATTGGTGAAGATGGCATCGCAAATCTTTCTCATGTGATTATCATATATACTTTACAACTTTTATTTCCTTGAGAACTAAATGACCTAAGAGGATGGGACAATACATTTTAGGTTTGATTTCCTGTCAATAAAAGCCACTTTATTTTTTAGGTCTTATTTGGTAATATAGCTCTTCAACTGTTTCGGTTCTTGTACATCCTTGGTTTTCAAATATTCGGCTTTGAGCGTTCCTGATGAAGGTAAATCCAGAAAAACCCTTCGGACGCATAAAATTTATATCGTGTTGTTTTCGTTTTTTTCCCCCAAGAACTGAATAAATACATCCATAATTAAAATTTTGTTTATTACAAAAATTACCTGAATGCCACTAATAAGGGTGAAAATGTTGAATCTCCATCATAGATATATAAATGATCCCATCCACACTCTGTAGAGAACTGTTTTAGTTGTAGATGTATAGGCTGTGTATTGTTCTCTGGAGCTATTAACCATGTACATTTATTGTCCTCAGAGTAGTTACCATACCCATCAAATATAATTCCTTCTTTACCTGTCAGTCTGGAAAAAATTACACTAATATATACATGTACAAATGTATCAGATTTTATTCCATTTGTGGTCACTTATTAAATTAAACAAAGCTAAACCAGATGTCTACAAACAATTTAAACCATATATGAGTTAACTTGTCTCACCCAAAAACTGGTTATTTTATGATGCATTGTAGCTAACTTATGATGATTTCATGGTACAATGTACATGTAGCTTCATTGGCAACATTACTGTTATCTACACCTGATCATGGGATTTTACACAAGAATGACAAAAAACTGGGAAAAACAAAGTATAGCTCTGACAATGTTTGTTAACTAGTTCCAAATGTGTAATGTTTCTGAACTCTAGATACATTGTAATGAAATGTTAAATTTCTAAGTGATTGCTAAAACTTGCACATAGACCAGCTAAATTTAACATTCTTGGGCACAGAAATATTGGTATGCACTTATATATAATTAAAGCAAATTAAATTCGTATGTACATGTAGTACACCTGAATTAATTTATACATGTTATACATTTATAAGATTCAACATTAGATACATTTACATATACAGTGAGTGTGGTTAAAAATTGCTTTGGGAAAAGTTTCGATTGCTAACTTCTGTTGTGTTACAAATAATTCTTTGACTTTGGGCATGACTAAATAGTGTATTAAAAAAATCAAAAAAGTCAATTTTAAATATATAACAGATGCTTTAAATTGTATTTAGTAGAAGAGCTGATTTGGGTCTGTATACAATGACCCTGAAAAACCTTCAGCATAGACGTGAAAAGGCTTCTTGTCACAAGGCCTTGTGTTAGAATGCAAGAAAGGTTTAAAAACATTAAAAATAAATGGGGAGTGTGTCCATTGGACACAGATGATGCCCCCCGCCTGCATATCATTAAAGTTATAAAGGGACATAACTGAAGATCAGTAAAAGTAACACTACCCAAATTTGTACTTGATCTGAGTTTTGTGGTAATAAGCATTGTGTATAAGTTTCATAACATTTCATTGAGGCAAACTTAAGTTAGAGAATGGAAACAAAAAAAATCAGCAATTTTTCTGTTTGTAAAGGGGCATAACTCTAGAACAGTAAAAGTGACACCACCAAAATTCAAACTTGATCTGTGTATTGTGGTAATAAGCATTGTGTATAAGTTTCATAACATTTGGTTGAGGCAAACTTAAGTTACAGAACAGAAACGAATTCAGCAATTTTTCCTTTTGTAAACGGGCATAACTCTAGAACCGTTAAAGTGACACCACCAAAATTCAAACTTGATCAGTATTTTGTGGTAATAAGCATTGTGTTTAAGTTTAATAACATTTGGTTGAGGCAAACTAAAGTTAGAGAACGGAAACGAAAAATTCAGCAATTTTTCCATTTGTAAAGGGCATAACTCTAGAACGATTAAAGTGACGCCACCAAAATTCAAACTTGATCTGTGTTTTGTGGTAAAACCCATTGTGTATAATTTTTATAACATTTGGTTGAGGCAAAATAAAGTGAATGGAAACCAACTTTTGGATGTACGTACATACGAACAAGGGTAAAACTAAATGCCCCCTCCGCTACGACGAGGGCATAAATATATAATAATCTGCTCTTTGAAGACATACTGTTGATAAACAACACATAGCTTTATCAAAAAACTTCAATAGAACAGTAAAAATTGATTTGAAACAGGAGGTTAGCACCTGATGAGTCACATGACATTGTAGCTGACATGCACATGACAAGTAAAACAAAATCTGCTTGTTAAAAACCTACAGCTTTTTAATAGGAGCTCATCAAAAAGCACCTGGCTCATATTATATGTTTCATTTAATTAGAAATAAGATATAGAAATGCATTGTGTGATTGAATGTCATTGTTTGAATTTAACATGTTAGGCACAATCCATCAAATGTGAAATGAGTACTAGTACATGTATATATCCCTCAAACAGTGGGAAAATCAATACACTAGAGAATCCAAATCTTAAAATTCAAATATTCTTTTTTTCAAGATTCATCATAAAACATCATGAAGCATACAGTTTCCTGCAAATGTGTATCTGATTACACCATAAAATAGTATACAATAATAAAATGCTATGCTGGGCGCAGCTTGATACGACGGCAGAGGTCGAACCCTGAACAGTTGGGGCAAGTATGGACACAACATTCAAGCTTGATACAGCTCTGAATTTGGATTGTGATTAAATATTTGACACAGCATAGGTTTCTGAAACAGAATGAATGTGGTCTAAGAACTTAAAATTTTTTATTTTACCTATTATGGTCCAATATCCAAAATCTAAATACATGGTTAGATTCAGCATATCAAAAAATCCAAAGAATTCAATTTTTGATGAAATCAAACAAAGTTTAATTTTGGACCCTTTTGACCTCAATGTGGACCAATTTGATAACGGTGCCCAATTATCAAAATACATGGTTAGATTCAGCATATCAAAGAACCCCATATATTCAATTTTTGTTGAAATCAAACTAAGTTTGATTTTGGACCCCAATTTAGACCAACTTGAAAACTGGGCCCAAAATCAAATAACTAAACACATGTTTAGATTCAGCATATCAAAGAACCCCAAGAATTTAATTTTTGTTAAAATCAAACTAAGTTTAATTTTGGACCCTTTGGACCTTAATGTAGACCAATTTAAAAAAATGGGACCCAAAATTAAAAATCTAAATACACAGTTAGATTTTGCATATCAAAGAACCCCAATAATTCAATTTTTGATGAAATCAACAAAGTTTAATTTTGGACCCTTTTGACCTCAATATGAACCAATTTGATAGCAGGGCCCACAATTAAAAAATCTAAATACATGGTTAGATTCAGCATATCAAAGAACCCCATATATTCAATTTTTGTTGAAATCAAACAAAGTTTGATTTTGGACCCCAATTTGGACCAACTTGAAAACTGGGCCCAAAATCAAAAATCTAAATACATGTTTAGATTCAGCATATCAAAGAACCCCATATATTCATTTTTTGTTAAAATCAAACTAAGTTTAATTTTGGACCCTTTGGACCTTAATGTAGACCAATTTGAAAACTGGACCCAAAATTAAAAATCTAAATACACGGTCAGATTCGGCATAACAAATAAATAAATGTGGTCAAAGATTTTACAAATCTAATGCGCCATACTGTGCAATTAAAGATTACTTCTTGAAATTTTTCAATATTTGAAATTTGAAAAAAAAAATATTTGAAGAATAATTCTTTTTAATTTCTGAAATCTGAAATGAGAAAAAAATGACCCCCCCACAATTTCTTTTTAACCCCCTCCCCTCCTTTTTCCCCAAAAAAATTCTTTCCCTCAAGATATGGTCATAATCTCAATTCAAATTTCCAATGGAATTTGCAACCATAATTACCCATTTAAATTTACCATAGTGCTAACTTAATATATTTTATAATAGAATTCAAAATATGGTGTCAAATCTTTCATATGGATTTTTTTGTAAAAAAAAAAAGATGCAACATTTGCAGATATTTTTACTGGTCTTCCTTTATAAATATGCATTTCTTTAAACATAATTTAAAAGCAGTGTAAGGGAAGTAATCAAAACGTGGTATTTGGATTACCTCCCTTATACTGTTTTAAATTGTCTTAATTGTTCATTAACCATTACTTTATACATAATTTAAAAGCAATGTAAGGGAGGTAATTCAAATGATGTATTTAATTTCTCTCCCTTACACTGCTATAAATTATGTTTTGTACTAAAGTATTTGTCCATTAACCAGGACAACCTTGTTTTTCCCCCTTTTTTGCCCCTAATTCCTAAACGGTTTGAGCCATAACCCCCCAAAGCAAATCCTAACCATCCCTTTGTGGTATGATAACATGTGGTATAATTTCAGAGAGATCCATACACCGTTCCACCAGTTATTGTCTGGAAACTAGAAAATGCTTATTTTTGGCCCCTAATTCCTTAACTGTTGGTACCATAACCCCCAAAATCAATCCCAACCTTCCTTTTGTGGTATTTAACCTTATGGTAAAATTTCATAGAGATCCATTCATTTAAACTAAAGGTATAGTGTGAAAATCAATGTGTCTTCGGACGACGACGATGACGCCAACGTCATACCAATATACGTCCGCAAAAAATTTTGCGGTCGTATAAAAATGAATAATCATAAATCTATAAGAGAGCATACAATAAGTTGAATAGCTGCAATTTTGTATATGATTACACCATAAAGTACTTTGAGATAGTTGAGAGTGGTACTAGAGAAACGCAAAGAAGTTAGTCAGCAGTGATGGTTATTCATATACAGTAAAGGTAATTTAATTTCTACTAATTTGGATAAATGACCAACACTATTTATGTTATTGCGCCACATTATCATAGGATATGAAAATTCATTCATTTTATTTTCAATGAATGTTGATAAATATATAAAAAAAAGGAAATGTGGTATGATTATTATAACTATTATTATAGAAGACCGAAGAAGATCCTGAATTTGTGTAACGGCTGGTTTATTAGATGTCATTTATTTATATGAACAAGTCTAAATTGACAACAACGTTGAAACCTATGATTGTATATTTTAACAAAACGCATTTGACTAGCAGGTCGAACAACTGATGTTCTTAAACCCTGCTGACTGCCATTGCGATTGCCAAATAAACAGATCACAAGATGTAATGAAATTGATCTTATTATTAATTTATTACCAAACAGAAAACAATAAACTTGCGGAAAAGATGGTATACCGCAAACATGAGGTGCAAAAATGTGTACACCATATCCGGATTTCGACAATTAATGTCTCTTCAGTGATGTTAGGAATCGAAACGGTATTTGGAAGGCCATATAATTTACCTCAATTTAGGATAGACTTTTGAATTTTTAAAGAGTCAAAATAGGATGAACGGATCATATAAACCCGAAGGCAAATATAATACAAGCCCAAACGAAAAAATATAAACAAGTCTAAATTGAAAACAACGTTCAAACCTATGATTGCGTTGGATAAAAACTGCAATTTTTATACGTGTGCATGCAAAACAAATTTCTTGGTAGAGGGGTCTAAATACAGCACAAACAACATTTTCCAAAAGACCAAATGAGTGAAAAAGTATATTTTTAACAAAAACGCATTTGACTAGCAGGTCGAACAACTGATGTTCTTAATTTATTTATATGATATATAGATGTAAAATTTCGTATTAAATGTGTATTTAAGTTCTGCTATGTGTATATACTGCAACTTTTTATCATTTCTTTTCTTATCCTGCAGGATGGCATAGACGCTTCAATGGCAAAGCTGGACGGGCCCACCTTCACTTCTACAGGATAGTTCCTGCCTTCCGTAAAGAAGCCAAGACAGTAAAGCTAACCCACAGACTCGTTAGTGAGCAGCAAGTGACCCGGTACCAACGAGAGACCTATCGCCAGATACAGGGTAAACTGGTTGACTTATGGGACAGTCTAGACACCAACACACTGAAGACCTCAGAGTTCCTCAAACAGATTGGGTATACATGTATGTACGCACCACCTGTTCCTGGTCAGCAGACATACCAGACTCCGACCAGGGATGGGGTAATCGTAATAGATTGTAATTGATTACATTTTTTTCAGTAATCGACAGTAATCTGTAATCAAAGACATTTTCGATTACATGTAATCGTAATTTAATCGATTACATGTAATCGTAATTTAATCGATTACAGCAAAAATTGTGATGTAATCATCGATTACTTTTCGATTACATTTCGATTACTTTAGTAAAATAGTTTGATGAAATATAACCTATTCTAAATGAAAGTATGTATGTATTCATCACTTTAAAGTACAGATAAAACAGAATGTATTAATATGACTTAAGAGTTTATCAACTGCTTTATATCTATCTATTGTCTCAAGCTGCATTATGATCAACCAGATCCCCTACCAAATTTTACTTTATATCTAGCTTTTGAAAAAAAATGGATTTATGTGCTTGTCAATAATTCAAGACCTTTTATATTAAAATAAGAAAATAGATTTGAAATAAGAAAATAGATTTAAAATAAGAAAATAGATTTAAAATAAGAAATGAGTCTTAAGTTAAGTACTGTACTACATTAAAGTAGTAAGCTTATTTGTATTAAAATTCTTTAAAGCATAATTTTAAATAAGAGTTGGAATTTTAGATTAGAATAGATAATCAATTGATTCCTTATAATGTTATGATATAAAAATGAAGAAAGTACACAAAATCCTTTCGACAATGAACCATTGGCTATGCACTGAAATTCGTTTAGAGAAATAGATACATGTATCCCATTTTGACACTATCTATAAATATAATATATTTTGTTTATAATTTGATTAGAGAATAAAAAAATCTAAACAAAATGCTTGTCTTTACTAATCAGATGATAAAAGACTTCTAATAAATAAGATGTAGACTTTGTTTTCATTTCAATTATGTCTAATTGAAAGGGAGATTTACATTATTTTGCCCCAGGTTATAAATTGTACTCCATTGGCAGTTTTATACTGGTAACCTGTAATTAGGGTGGTTATCCAAACAAAAGGATTAATTCATGCATGTCATGATAATTATAAATTTTGATGTTTGAAATTAGCTGAACTGATTAATTATTCTACTTTTTTTTTCAGAGGAAAACTTCCAACATTGCAATTAACTATGTTAAATAAAAATATACCTGTTTTTAATGAAAAAAAACAAAAAAGCTACCCTAAGTCAGTATGAAAGCAAAATTTTTGAAAAAAAACTTGCAATATAAATAAGTGATTGATGCAATGTGATGTCATCTCTCGTTCATGTTGAAAGCCAAAATTTCAAGAATGTTTGAATATTTCTGATCCTCAGTAAGAGATTCCATCTAGAAAACAACTGTCAACTTAAAATTTGAAAACAATGCTCTAAATGCTGTTTTTGGTAAAGTTCTAAATTTCCACTATACAAACGTTGAGCAACATAATTGTGTTTAAATTACTGGATTATTTTTTGTGTAATTTTGTAAAATGTAATTAACAGTAATCAAAAAGTAATGCAATTACTTTTGATAAAATAATCGATTGCAATCGATTACATACAAAAATCAGAGTAATCGATTATCAATCGATTACACAAAAATCCTTCATGTAATCGATTATTAATCGATTACATTTGTCAGTAATCGTGCCCATCCCTGACTCCGAGTGAATGATAACTTATCTTGTGTTTGTGTACTTTGTGTTTGACATATACTATGTCAACTGATTTTATTGGTTTGTATACATGTATGTACTCTGTATTGTGTGCTATGTATATCTTTCTGTATGTTTCAGTGCTTGATATTGCCAATCATGTAATCTAGTGCTTTATCTGATTTGAATGCAATTAAAAATTGTTCTTGTTATGTATTGTTAATTGATGATCAATAAAGATATGAAATATTTGTATAGTCTTTATTTATTAAATTTGATTTCTTTATCAATCCTTTTCATCATGTTTATCAGTACTGCAATCAAGATGTCGAAAAACTACTAGTAATGCAATACCACACGTCCACAGGACACATAAAAAAAAGAAAAAAACAATCAAACAAACAAAAAATTATATTTTCCTTATACTGCATGTTCACCTGCAATTACCTTCATTACGAAGGGTAACACGAATGACCGAATAACACTGTTATTATCCAAATAACACTTGTAATGACTGAATAACACTTGAAATTTTAATATTAGCACGAATTTGTGACATTTAAACATTGATTATTAAATAATATTATATTATAAGTGTATTTTATAACTTAAAAATGATTTACAGAAAGCATATATTGAGTAAATCTTCTTCTTCCTTTATAGTACAGGCCTTCCATCATGTCCATGGGAGTAAATCGTTAAGAAAACTAATAGGTGATTGGAGTAATTGCATGGCTTTGATGTACTTGTTAACTTTTCAAAACCTTACTGAAAAACAATTATTGGACAATACTCTGTATATACAGTACATTATTAAATACTTTATTTTCATAGCATTTCCCTTTGAATGCATATGCAATCATTCTTTTATTCTTCCCATTGTGTTTTCCTTGATCGCCATGTTGGATGTACACACTAATATTTATAATGATTTTTATCTTGATCTCGATCTTGATAGGAATACGGTGATACATCCAAGGATATTAATACACCGCGTGTGCGTCAAGTAATTTACTTAAGTGGGGCCCCCTTACAATTTCACTAAAGGTTTTAGCTGGTTCTTCTGCTGTCTGAATTTTGATGAAGATATCCGGTGGTAGTTGGTTCCAGTCTTTAATGGTAATTGGAATGAAACTGTATTTTAATGTGTCTGTTTTTGTTTGGAGTCTAAGGAAATGTTGGCTGTGCATGTTCTTGGTTGTCCTTGATGGTTTTTTCAGTTGGTCAGAAGGTAAGTTTGCTTGACCGTGTATACTTTTGCAGAAAAGGATCAGTCTGTTTTGTGTACGGCGGTCTTTTAGTGATGGTAATTGCAGTTGGTCTAAAATTGCTGTCATACTTCCTGGTTCGTAGTTGTAGTTTGATGTTATAAACCTAGCCGCTCTTTTCTGTACATTTTCCAGTTGGTCTTGGAGATATAGTTGATGTGGGTCCCAGGCAGTGCTTGCATATTCTAGGACAGATCGTATCAGTCCTTTATATGCCTGGAGTTTAACTTCAAGTGGACATGCTGATAGGTTTCTTTTTAGTAAGCCTAATGTCCTATAAGATTTATTGCATATCTCCTCTATGTGCTTTCCCCAGTGTAGATCATTTGTGATGTTTACTCCTAGATATTTAATAGCTGTTAAAAATTGGAGTTCCGTATTTTTGAGAGTGTATTTAAATGATGTAATTTTCTTCTTGCGACTCAATGTCATATGAACTTACCTGCTTTCTGTAAATCATTTTTAAGTTATAAAATACATGTACACTTATAATATGATACTGTTTAATAATCAATGTTTAAATGTCACTTATATGTGCTAATATTAAAATTTCAAGTGTTATTTGGATAATAATGGTGTTATTTGGTCATTAGAGGTACCATATTACAAAATTCTTATCAAATGGGATAAAGAAATGGCTACTTCCCACTTAGTTCTTTCTATGAAAAGAAAATATTATAATGGACCGAAACAACCGAGGCCGAAACAACCAATGCCGAACAGGTGTATTGCCGAAACGACATACAGCTGAACGGATTCATGCCCGAAACGTCTCGAAAGCCATGTAGTGATGTACATATAGCTACCCTCCTTTCACAGATATTAAACACCTGCCTATTAAAATTTAGTTTTGAAAAACATAACTGCTGTTTTGAATAGCTACTTTGAATAGCTAGCTCGTTCTCTTGCACTGGTAACACCTGCCTCATAAATTTTATTTTCAGTTTTCTTACCTTACTCTTCCTGTGCAGTGCTGACAAGCAGGCCCTTTCCAGCCTTTATCACAAATACAGGAATCATTTATACATTCTCCTTCTCTGCAATTTATTTCGTCACAATGTGTTGTACATGATGTGTCTGGTATTATAAGAATTAAAATCAACATACACACACAAATTAAGAAATATTGTCGTCTTTCCAGATGCATAATGTCAATAGACATCTTTTATTATTATGCCGGAAATTGACGAACTACCCGGAAGTGACTATTCGATTGTTTCCGGAAATCGATTTTATTTTTCGATGAAACTAATTACCACCAAAACAATGTTAAATTATATAGAACGGTAACGATCGACACAAACAATGGCATGCGCGATGGGTTTCAATCAAAATAGATTGTAAAAATCCTATTTGAAACAGTGAGCCCGTTATTTGTGCTTGTTTGTTTTATATTTTTTATACTTTTTCCCTGAGATCACCTCCGTTTTTTGTAGTGTTCGTGTTCCCCAGTCATAAGTTATCTATGTTGTGTTTTGTATGCTGTTGTATGTCTTTCGGTATTTTTTTCGTGTTTTTCTTTGCATTGTCTGTTCGTTTTCGACTTATGATTTTGATTATCTCTTTAGAAAATGAAAGGATATGGAGTAAATGTACATGGGACAAAATCGCACACAATACATAGAAAAACATAGAAAATTATCAATGAACAGGGCTTTTATTCCTAGTATTCTTCACCTTGACAGTTGATGTAGGGTCTTCAACAGTGAACGAATCATACATACCCTACATCAAGGTCAAGACAGCCCCTTAGACATTGGCGTAGCTTACGTTGAGGCAACCGAGGCAGTTGCCTCGGTAAAAAAAAAAAAAAATAAATAAAAAAAACTTTTCTTTTAAACAATTTTCACAGCAGCAGACTCGCTACTAAACGTTAAAGTACCGACTTGTATCGTCTTGTTACCGTTATTGATTCATACCCTTTGCGAGTTCAAGACTCATGGAAACATTTTCTTTCTCTAATTGGGAATCCCGATCCCTTTGCGATAGTTTTCAGTAGTCTCAATATGTCGAAGTCAACGAAATCGACACAATTGAAGATGGCACATCTATATAATCCTACCCCAAGCAAATTCAGTAGAATAGATGATTACCCAACTCACAAGCCTTCTATCGAATCACTTGACCATTCAGGTAAATTATTAATGTTTTGCAAGAATAATTTCTAGTATATGAGGGTCTGGGTGAGGTTTACAGAATACAGAAAAATATCCTGAAATTGATTTAAACTTAAAAGAATAGAGATTTGAATGGTGATAAATATAAAAGAAAGGAAAATCACATTATGGACAAAAAGAATTAAAAATAAATATTTGAGGACGCCCATACCAACCCTCATATATAATTGGTAACGTCTAAAATTGAAATTTCGTTGTGTGTTGACATTTCCCCCGACGTGTAATACTTCAGCTAGTACATTGAGTTTCATTAAACTTTGATACCAATTGAAATAAAAATTACTAATATTTAATTTAATCAACATGCACAGAAAATAATTTGCTATGTTGTTCTAAAGTTTTATTCTCACCAAGGATTTGTATAGTCATGATATTGTTTTACTATACAAATCCTTGTTATCACTATTTAAAATTTATAGTTTTTTCACTAGCAGGGAATTTTAAATAATTGAAGGAGTCATTAATTCCAGCGACATAAATAATATATATCAGTTTCTATATAAAATTTTCAACCAAATACTGTTTTCATTTATTATGAAGACTTCAAAAAAAAAACGTAAATTTTTCCGTTAGTACTTCACCGGTTGTGATTTTCACAATGGGAAAAAGTTCAAAACCGTATAAGAATTTGAAGACCATCCAAAAAATATCAGGACAAAACACAACCAATAAAAGTGCCGTGGTGCGTTTCACATGTAGCATGTGTTTATTTCCTAGTTAATCAAGAAATGCTGCAAGCGTGATGTCTGGTAATGTTTCTGGCATTAAAATCCGCTTATAGCAAATCCAATCAAGAGCATATATCTGCATTGCAAAGCGCACATTTTGATCTTGTTGTTAAGTCCACTATTCTGTAAGTCAGTTGATATGGTTTCTTTGAGGATTAATTCTCAGCTGTATTGTTGACTTGCTGTGTCATTAAAATAAACCCCATATCCATTTCCTTTTATTCGTAAAGAATTTAAAATCTGGGACGTTCACTGGAAGGATTCAATTTGAAAAAAGTGGTATATGTTATTGAGAACATTTATGTATTCATCCGAACATTGAAAATGTTGTAGGTACCAGTAATCAACTCAAAAATCTGTATAACTTAGTGTAAGGCATATTAACATTATTATGATGAAGTAAAATAAAACAACAGTTACTGCTTTTATTTTTAATAGATTCTTTTTTTTCAAATTGCAAAACTTCAACAGCTTCTGGGGGGCTGCGTAGCGTCGACTTAAGCGGTACTATTGATAAAAATAAACCACAGTTCACCTTCTTGCTCCCCACCCGCCTCGGAGTGCCAACTTGTGCGATGCTTGTGTACGACGGTTCTCCAGTCGAAAGCACCAGGGATACAAGAAAAATGCAGTAATTTTGAAAAACATCGATCGCCGCTAAAATATGCCTTGAAGTTACACATGTCGGGAGCGGTCAATGCATTACATAATTTATAATTACGGGCGAGGTTTTTCAACATATATTTGATTATCTCTTTAGTATCTTTCGCCTCTCTTCAGTAGTCAGATGTATAAATTGGCGGGAAATAGTCTGCTCCTCCGATACTATACTTTAGATAAAATGACCTTGCGAAAAATCTCAGTAATGCCCTTTTATGGTGTTTATCTTTTTGATCACAATTTAAAGGAAAAGTAAGTAAGTAAGTAAAACATTATTTGAGTTCGGCATATTTGACAAACATATTCAACATAAGCTCTAATGAGCTTTTCACCGAATATCAGTCTCTTTCAGGAAACATATCAAAAAGATCTAAAATCGGAACTCGGAATTTTATCAATCAGTTTTCTCCTTAAACAGTCCAGTGAAAAGGGCATTACCAGTGTTGTAGTTCCGAGATTTTTTTGTGCAATGCGGCCAAAATATAAGTATATCCCGCCAGGATGTATTTGTTCAAACAGGAACATACCGCCAAATCTCCGTATACTGGTATGTATGAAATTAGACCAGAAATTCAAGTTCGAAACTTTAATACCACCAAAAACAAAATGACATGCAGCAAAGGTTAACACTACTTATAATATATAAAGTCTCAAGCAAATACAAAACGGATCATATTCGGACATTAACTTTTTATTCGAATAAATCAAGAAGACCGCACATTGTATGTGCAACAATCAAGACCACATAACAATCAGGTACAATTATTCAATAATTACGATCGTTTGAAGAGTTGGTCAGTTCATTCAATAGTCTCTTCTTGTATTCAATCGTGTCTCATTTGGTTTGATGACTCCCGACTGTATCGGTCGTATTCAATCGTTATTAGGGAGCTACCAAGTTGATTTTTATGGGGGGGGGGGGGGGGAGGGGCTAGGATGAAATTTGAAAAAAGGCAGGACAGGAGTTTTGAGTAAAAAAAAAGGCAGGATGAGCAACTTTGCCAAAAAAAAGGCAGGATGACAATTTATGTAAAAAAAGTCAGGATAAACTAATAAAAAAAAAGGCAGGACCGAATAGAGTGAAAAATAAAAAGGCAGGACAGAGATTACAACTAAAAAAAAAGTCAGGAAACAATTTTTCATCCTAGCCCCCCCCCCCCCCCCCCCCCATAAAAATCAAATGGTAGCTCCCTTACGAGCGAGCGTTTATGGGTTGGTCAATTCAATCAACTGTCTCGTTTGATTTGATGACTCCCGACTGTATCGATCGTATTCAATTGTTACGATCATTTGAGAGTTGATCATTTCAATCATCTGTCTCTTCTTGTGGTCAAGTCTCACGATCATATCGATCGTATTCAATCGTTACGATCGATTATGAGTTGATCTTATGATCAGTCGTATCTATCGTAACGATGTAGTGTGTGCAATTTTCATTGAGTTGAATGAGTGGAAATTTGATAGTCAACCGTAATCAATCGTATCTATCATAAAGATCTAATATATTTTTTGTTGTTGATTGAGTTGATATTTTGTAATCAATCGTATCAGTCGAACGTTCGAGGGTTTGCAATTTTCATTGCGTAGTTCGAGTTGATTTGTGGTAATTAATCGTGATCAATAACTCTTCGTAAGGATCGAGGTTTTTGTAATTTTAATCAGCTGATTTAGTTGACAGCTGGTGTAAATTGTGATCAATCGTATAAATTTTATCGTGACAATCAGGGATTTGCACTTTTTACTGATTTGATTCAGTTGATATTTGCTAATCAATCTTGATCAATCATATCTAGTGTTTGCAATTTTTATTGAGTTGATTGAGTTGACAGCTGGTTATCAATTGTAATCAATCGAAAAAAATTTATTGTGTTGAGTTGAAATGTGTTGTTGTATTAATGTCAATGTAATCAATCGTTAAAATAAAGTATTTACAAGTTTTCATTATGTATTTATTTATCATATTTTGTATTTGCATCTATATTATATATTACATGTCATTGTACCGATGAGCATTATTTGCTTAAAGTAACAAAAGAATTGAATTGAATTGAATAAGTTGGCAGTTAATGATGTTCAATGAATAACAATTGATTGTAACGTTACGATCATTTTTTAAAGTGGGTCTCATTGGGGTCTAAGCGTTTGTAAGCGTGACACGTGAAAGTCAAATTATTGTGCCGTGAAAACGGGAAATGAAGTCTAGCGGGATACGGGAAATTACAAAATAGTGAGAATTGCTTACGTACATAGTGTACGGGAATCTGACAAAACAGTAAGCGGGATCCGGGATGCAACATTTTTATTACACTATAACTCTATTTGAAACATCATAAACATGATTGTATAGGCAAACTGACATAATTTTATGACCAAAAAATCAGAATTTTTAAACAAAAACTAAGATTTTATTATAAAATCTGCGAAAATAATAAAGCGGAAAAACTGTCAAATGTCACTCTAATTGAATCATAAAAAAACATAATTGTATAAGGAAATTGAAATAATTTCATGACCAGAAATTACTATTTTGTGTCAAACACTAAGATTTTTATCATGAAATCTCCGAAAACAGGAAACCGGATAATTTGTAAATTGCGATGCAAAATAAGAT